TGTGTGTTAGTACAGGTCAAGGGTGCTGGCTCGTGGTTAGCATAATGTATGGCCTTCCAAACCCTCACAGTGACTACCATTCACCACCAAACACTGCATTTAGTAAACCAATGGCCATAGCCCCAGGTATATATATATAGCTACAAGCTCCAAGAACACAGTGTACTAGGGTTTGTCTACAATACTGGCCCCAATACACTTCGGTCATTCACTATAATATTATTAAGCCACCTGCAATAAAAGACAGTAAGGAATATCCTAACCGTCCCTCCACCTACAGACATTCATAGGGTGCTCAATACAACGTCTCCGAGGCTTTATTCCAAGTGACCTCTACCAGTTTTTGCGAGTAAGTTCCTCCCACTTTTTGGCTCAATTACATCACAGGGATTCAAAGGGGACGGTTAGCGGCAGGTGCTACGGTAGACGCCGAGGGCCGTGAATGAGACAAGAGCGACACGAATTCCGTTAAATCTCTCGCAATTCACGATTCTCTGCATGGGAGCTCGGAATGCCATCCCAGGCGTCGTGAATATCGTTAGCGACCTACGTACTCTGGAGTAGCTGAGTGCACAGTGGTTTTGAATTTCTGATCCACTATAAAAGTTTTACTCTACCTTACATATATAGACCATTGACCTCTCACGCACACACACACACACACAACACACACACACACGGAATATGATAGAGTCACTGCAGTTTGAACTTGAAGCAGAGTTTCGTGGGTTTGTACTAGTAGTTGGTTAACATCCGAGCCAGTGCAGCTCTTCTTTCAAGAAAGGGTTCTCCCTAGGTGTAGTACATAGTTGCTTTGCACTATAGCCTTGCTTAGTTACATTGACTGTGATTCATACATACATACATACATAGATAGATAGATAGTCTGAACAGAGCTACAAACAGGAGGCATTACTACGTACGTACATGCAGTGTTGCTGCCATTTACTTACCTGTGGGCTCACCCGATTGCTCACTTTCTTAGGAGGAACTGCGATTTTAGGGTCAATCTGTAGAGGAACAAAAACAGTGTAACTCAACCTCTCGTCTCGTATCTTAAGCTATTCAAATACACTAGATTTCTTTTCTCAACCTCACCCTTTTCCCCCCGCATTCGACTCTCTGTTACCGTTGCTTCGTACTAACTGTCTCCCTTGTTTTCTGTCGCTGCATCGTTTCTCTACCTCCCCCTTCTCTTCCTCAACCTCTATCAGACCCCATCACTTCCTCCCTCTCCCTTCCTCCCACAATGCAAGGGGTCCCAGTCACGGCCAACAAGGCCCCCAACACTCTCTCCCATTCATCTCCACAACAACCGACAGACACTGCCTTTCACTGCTCCATTTCACCACCGAGCAAGCATTTCACTGACCCGTGTAACGGGCACTGTATCACTGACAGGGCAAAGATGTATCCAAGCCTGTCTGCCTGTCTGCCACTGAGATCACAAAGACCCACCGAACACAAGCCTTCATCAATGACACAACTACACTCGAATACGCGTTCCTTCCAAACAAGGCATTGTACCGAGCCACACACCAAAAACAGAAACGTTTCCTTCCCCCATATTCGTGTTTTGTACACCGTCAAAGTGCAGTGTACAGAGTGATGTGCATTTGCAAAGTGCATGTGTACACAGAGAGAGAGAGCATGTAGCATTTTCAGCTTCCCTCCTCTATTTGTGTGTGTGTGTGTTTGTATGTAATAATATGCCTTTTGCACCATCTTAGTACATTCTAGGAATGGGTGCGCCATTTCCTTATCACCTCAAATACTTCCTTTTGTTGCGTATGTTTATAGCATGCAAGAGCCTGGGAGGGCAGGAGGAACCGTTAGTAAGCCAACGAAGCAAAGAAAAGGCAATATGCACCAATCAGGGAGCCCCAACACTTCTCTTTGTATCCATTCCAAATGGCTTGGTAAGTTACAGTGAAAGCGTTACTTCCTGAGAAGTCTAAATAGGAATGTCCAAGATCACACACTGTCCTAAACCTACCACAGAGAGCTTTCAGACCTTTAAACATTAGGACAGGAGGAGATAAGAAAGAAGAGAGAGAGAGAGAAGAGAGAGAGGAGAGAGAGATAGAGATAGAGGGAGAGAGAAAAGAAAGGAGAGAAGAGAGAGAGAGAGAGAGAGAGAGAGAGAGAGAAGAGAGAAGGCCTTGCCTGTTTGTCGTCGATGTAGATGGGTTCTACGTCGTGTGCCTTCAGAACCTTGTCAACAGTCTCGGCCTTTGCAAAGGTGATAAAACCAAATCCCCTACACACGGACAGAGAGTGAACGGCAATTAGTCATTTGTCTGAATTGTACATTTTTCTGTACCGAATGTATTTGAGGCTGTCACGCCAGTTATTACGTACACATGAACATTATGTAGAGTTGACTTCAAGGTATATACATAAACCTTTACAGGTCTAAGGTCCCATCTGTTAAGTTTCCTTGCTAACTCAGTCCTTTTCCTTCTAGAAACTTCTACAACACCAGGTGCCTCAGAATTGCACCTGGTATTGTAGAAGGAACCACCGTTCATGCACTGCACACAACACAATCTGATGAGGCAATGAGGATAGGTTTGGAAGCCCCACACATTAGCAGGATAGCTTGCAAACTCCCATTGAAAACTGAAGTCTGGGAGATAATGGTGTCCCACAGCCAATTATGCCCCACAATTGGGGGTCATTAAGGATGAATGGGGAGTTGTGGTCCACAGTACAGGAAGCTTTGCATATACCACACTTCCCATCACAAAGCCCATACAACATACCTCTGTGATCAGGGCTACTCAAAACGGGCCACTCTAGCACCAGGGCCAATATTTATCCTCCCAGGCCAAGAGAAACAGTTAGGGTTATTTGCTACACAACTGCCCCCCACAAGACACACAGGAAACTAACAGAGAATAGGGTGCATAGTGGAGTGTAAGAAAACTCGTGTGTAGGTGTTGAAATACTCGACCGAAGGTTTTCACAACTGTTACCCTATGCTTGTTGTTTCCTTTGGCATACTTTACTTTTCTCTGCATCGCTATACATATGTACTGCAGTCTACTGAAGACTACTATAGAGCATTGTGCTAGGAAAAACCACAAGAAGAAGAAGAGGAAAAAACAGCTGTAGTGCATTTTCATGTCAGTGTATAGAGTATTCTTCACAGTTTGCTGGTGCATGCATGCGGCCTAATTCTCATTGTAAAGGGTTCTTACAAATCCAGAGCATCGAAAACAACGCCATGCATTAAAACGTGAATCTATAGATGCAGAAATACATTTTCAATTCTGAAGCCGGTACATACAAAGTGCCTGTCACTCAATCACTCTAGCGGAACCGCTCTAGCGGAACCACTCTCAGATAAGGTGTCTTTACTTATAAACACAGGAAGAAAGGGAGAAAGTGTCCTAAATATTGAGAGTGGTAGCAAAAGGTATATATATACCTCCCGCTTTATGCTGCCCCCTCATTATGAGGCCACTCAAAGACGCAAACATATGCTCACCTCGATTTTTTGGTAACTTGATCCCTCATTATGTTGCACTCTGCGACGTCCCCAAAGTGGGCCTCGAAAAACTCCTTCAGGGTGTCTGAAAATGAGCACGTGAGGATAAAGAAATGTGCGATGACGTTTCGAGATACCAAACTGTTTTAGTGGTGCGCCGTGAATAGTGAAAGAGTTTAGGACATTCATGTTTTCAAATGCAACAGACTCCCACACTATATACCAGCATTCCGTTTCCTGGGAGATTGACCAGCTATGAATATCATTAAACAGAGCTCTCTCTCTCTCTCAGAAAGCCGGGATCTAAGACACTTGGGATGTGCCCAGAGTAGGTCTCCAAGTTTTTGCTAATCCATTTCTCTTGACCACATTCAACAGCCCAGCCCAGTAGTATGATACTATACCACACCCTGTGTGTGCCTGCGTGTGTATATATACTCACCTGGTGTCGTCTGCCAATTCAGACCTCCAATGAAGATTTTCCTGCAAAATTTAGTGGTAGTTTTTATGCTAACATGAGCAATGGTATAATGTAGCCCACAATATTCTCTTGGTCGCGCGATTGGAAGCTCACGGAGGAAACGGGATTAACGAGCGCTTCGGATGACATGCATTCCAGTGGCAGCCGTAATAGCAAGGGCGCGGGCGTGGCACCCTCTAGCTGGCTGGCCGGCCGACAACCAGAGCAACTAGCTATTCTCGCAACACACGATAAACTAGAGCTGCAAACACATGCATACGACAGATGCTGCATCGCGCACAACGTCCAGGAATTAGACACGCACACAACATGCAAGCACACGATCTTCGCAAGCAAGAAAAGAGAGCTGTAGTTACAAGAAAATAACTGCACTCACGATGCCTGTTTTTCCCCAGCGCTGCCCGTCTCCAGCTCCGCCCGGCACGACTCGGAGAGACTACCGACCGGCGACGAGGCTCCCCCGTTCTCTTCTCCTCCAGAGCTGACCGTCTCTGCGGGGCAGGCGGGGGCTCCCTCCGAGGCCGTGGCTGGAACTCTCTCGTCCGCAGCTGCTGCTGTGTCCGTAGGAACCGGCATCTTCCTTGGAAATCTTCTTCACTCGAGGTACAAACGGTGTAGCTAGGCAGAGAGACTAAGTGATGCGATCTCGTTGGTGGTGTTGAGAGTTTTTCTGTGTTCGGACGGGCGTGCGATACAAAAAAATTGGTTGAACTACGGAGGAAAAGACTAAGAGTTCGGATATATGGATACCGGTTGACTTCCGCGGTCGAGGAAGAAACGACGAGAGGTAACGGTGTTGCTACAAAAAGCGAGAGACAGGGACGACGACACACGGTGCAGGAACTAGGACGAGCTACGACGGCAGGCTCTAAGCGCCTCTACTAGCTGTGCTACGTGCCGCGGTGCTTGCAGCGCTATCTGACCAAACTTCAGCAGCGGAACTGAGGTTCTCAGCGACACACTGCCCTCGCTATAAATATGCAACAGTCGGTCACTGGAATGTCGCAGCATACCAATTAATCGGGTCGCCGCAATAATCAACAGATGCGCGCGCATCGAAGTCAATAATGACGATGGAGTTGGGAAACGCTATATTATATTATGTAGTAAGCGTTGGAAAATGCTATAGAGTTGGAAAGGTTACTACTGGTTCAGAAGTGGAGCTAAAATCAGGTCTTTGTCTGAGGTCCCCAGAACTGTGGGCATAGGGGCAGGAGGAATCTTCTAGGAACTGTCGCGGGCACCCCTGTGGATGGTTGTGGTGGAACCAGCACGGTTTGGTCTTGACTAGTCTTTTGGCGTCCTCGGCACTCCGCCGCTTGGCTGGCCGCCGGGGCCCGTGCTCTGGTCCAGCGACCGCCCAGTTCCGAAGCTGCACAAACCCTCGGCACACTGACCAGGACAAAAATGATCTAAACTCATAGATTATCATTACTGCGATGTATAGAATGGCTACACTATCAGCCCATTCAAGAGCTTCCCAATGGAAAAAAACTGTCTCTCTGATACGATACAACGTCTACAAGGTGCATACAGGCTCGGAATACGATAGCTAAGAATAGCAAGACAGGGAATTGCAGTAGATCAACAACCTGACTAACACACTTCGTAACATCACAGTAACATCACAGAGTACACACCCTGACACCCTGTGCTACATATTTCAGCAGTGGGCAATAGGAACACAAACACACACACACACCTATGCCTCTATCTTGCACTCTCACAGCGTTTCAACAAGTAGCATGACAGGCTACAAAATGCCGTATTGTCCTTATTTCTGCCTTCATGGGGCTATAATGTATAAAACGGAATGGTGTATTTGGGATATACCAGAGCTATATGCACACAGAGCAGTTGATAAAAGACAACTTTCTTTGATTTTTGTGAGTCCATTGAAAGTTCGCAAGATTGGTTTTGGGTGTCTTTTGTCAGAAGACTAAGTATACGGTTTGCCACTCGAGGCAGTCTTTCGTTTGGAAGCAAAGCAAACCCAACTTGTCGTCTGGATGTGGGAGTTGCATATACCGTTATTTTCGTGATTATAAATTAGCGTGCAATGTTTTGCATTTGCTCGCCAAAATGCATCGAATTCGTTCTAGTAATATATCTGGCAGCATACAGTGGCATTAGAACACATTGGCTCTCAGGACCATTTCGAACACTCTTCAAAGGGACACCGATATGCATTCGCTTTCTCCCTGCATACGCCATGCATCGATAGCCCCACAGACCCAGCCTATAAGAAAGAGCTACTAACAGTATCATACACTACTCTAAAGAAGTCTCAGTATATAGCTATTCAGTGTGCACACTGAGGGTCTACACTACTACATCTGTACATTGACCACACACACTAGACTCTGGCGGGGCACCTAACAAGTACAAATGAAAGGGACACACCCGCAAACACTTGGTGGTGGTTCCTCAACAGTGTCTGGAGCCCTCCGCACTCTTGTTTCAGTTGTCTGAGAACAGCGTCGTCAAATAGCCTCGCCGCGTCCGATATACCCAGCCGTCCTGCGGGCACGTGTGCAAAACATGGGAGAACAGGACAAAAAACGGGACAGCCCGATTTCAAACTAGTGCAAAGGGGAACGGCAATAGAATGGCCCATATTGGCAGACGGTTCAAAGATTTGGGACTATTGTTGAAAAGGTTAACAGCAGGCTAGTGGAGGGAGAGGTGCAGTGTATGCGTAGGTTAAGATGGCTGTGAAACTCAAATTCAAAATATGGACCATGTATTATACATAATGCACTCTGGCTCAACATCTTATTGCATTGTACACCAGGGTCACTAGTAAGTGTCCACATACATGTTACAATCGGCCCTTGAGTAACAGCAGTGGGAATTGAACAATCCCAAGCCTATGTTTGCTAGCAAAACAGCGAGTGACATGTTTACAAATAGACTCTTTCCTCTGTATCCTGTGGAATTCAGCGCCACGGGCGGAACAATGCATGGAAATGTCGGGTAACAAGATGGCAAAGGGTGACTGTGTCGTATCATTCAACATCGACTCAACACAAGGCTACAGAGAGGTACAAACAAACACGGACAGCCTAGGGCTTGCAGCCCTGTGGTACGTTTCTCTGTTAGAGCACTACCAATCCCATACTTCGGGGAAGGTGTGTAGCAGTCAGGCTTATTGAAGACAAGCGTTTTGGTGCTTGCTAGAGCAATGTGGTGGTGATTTATTGGGCCTTATATAGTGAAGGTTACTTCCATCAGCACAACGACAATGAATGATAGTGCATAATAATTAATTACATATGTGCCAGTGGTTATGAAAAGTGCATGCATATTTTGGCAAAGCATATAAGGCCTAACAAGTTCGTCACACACAGTATAATAACTAGACTGCCCTGAGACCTGCATATAGGTTTTATGGTTGACTAATTGAGGCAATTACTCACTCCCAGATTAAGTAATGAATACCAGAGTACATTCCCCCTCGTTAACGCTAATCGAATCACCTCCTAAATTCCACAGAGTTTGGTTTCCCCGGGAAGCCTCACAGGTGAGCCTTGCCTCATCTTTTCCTCCAGTTGCAGCCACCTCTCGTCCCTCTCCCTCCATCCCCAACTTCTTTTGTCTCGCTGCATCGTCATGGTTGCCGGGATTCCACACGACATCATCGACATCGTTAATAAGGATGACATCGTCACAATTATTTTCACAAGTGTTACTAGTAGTTTTGGGAGTGTGGGGGAGACATGAAGAACCATCGCACGGCGTTTTTCTGTGAAGTTGACACATGTTGGGAGCAGGGGAGTCTGATTTCGATGAAAGTGCTGCTGTCAGAGAAGAAAGAGCAGCATCAGTGTGGGTATCTCCAACAACATTGTCACCGGGAGTTTTCTCAGCAGCAGTGGTGAGGATGGGTAAGGCAGCAGGGAGAGGGTTGGATTCAGACACTGTAAGAGGGTTGGCTGGAGAACCAAGTGGACCAGTGGTCAAAGTTGGGAGGCTCGTGAGGACTGACTTAATGGTAGAGACTGAGTTAGTGCTGTTAGTGATAGTTGGGTTAGTGATAGTTGGGTTGTTGACTGGCCCGCTGGTGGAGGTGGTAAGTGATTCACTAGTGCTAGAGGCGGCTGAAGGATGGCTGGATATGATCAATGAACAGTGAGAAGGGACAGTGTTGGTTGAACTGTGGAGTGCAGTGGCTGGACTAGGGATGTTGGTAGTTGAGCTGGCTGTAAATGTTGGGGTTGAACTAGAGATGACAGCAGGGGTAGTAGGAATGGCGATCCAGTTCTCAGTCTCCAGTAAGTGGCTGGACAGAGTCTGCACAATGAACTCCTGCAAGCTCCGGTCAACGTGTAGACAGTTGCGTGTTTGATCAGTCGCAGAACGAGGCACAAACCTCTCTGACCAACCACTTCCCTCACACCTACCACCAGCAACAGAGCTCACCTGCTTGGTACTTTTACTAGTCTCACTTCTCACGTTGACCACACCCTCTCCCTCTGTGACCACACCCTCCCCATCTCCTCCCTCTCCTCCACTCTGCCGAGGCAGGCCACTGCGACATCTCTCCCTCAGAAAACCCGCTCTCTTCTTCTCCATCTCTCCCTCGTCTTCCTCAGCGTACCACCTTCTCTGGCCCACCTGACACACCTAAGAGGGTGGGCCACTCATGAGCTAACAGACTGAAAAACTGGAAAATTAGAGGGAGAAACGTTTTTGTGTAAAATTTTTTTAAGAGTCGTCAATTATGTGGGCAGAGATGGTTTTGTCAGTTGATTAAATTCACTACCTATTCCTCACCTTCAAAGTATTGGGTATGGTAGGGTCAATACATCCAACAGAAAAGAGTGTTTGCGTGTGGACCATTCATACCATTAATACACTGAAGTTGCGCAGCATTCTGTACTGCCTTCCGCAATGTATTAGGCACTGTTACTACAAGCCACCAGTCAGTTAACGAAGGGGGCGAGTCCGTCCGTGGTAATAGAAACTCCAAAACGCCCACGTCAATAGAAAGTGAAAAACGCGACTCACACAAGTTGGAAGCAACGCAGCGACTCGCAGCATGCGGTTTATCTCACAGGGACATTCTGCAGCCCCAACAGAGAGACAGCGAGAGACATAATATACTGAAAGGTAAAGTTAAACAGCTCATCACATGCGACGCACATTACAATCCAATCACAATGCCAATACAGGAGGAAACACTAATGATGCAACCCTTCCCTCAGGGTTCTCAGATTTCTTACGGGGAATATAAATGTATTTCCGGCGCATTATAAGCCCCCATTTAAACCGTCAATGCAACCAAAAGAGTTTTTGTTGCTTTTGTAAGTGATGCCTGGTGTGTAATTATATATTAATGACAGGGGGGATTGGGAAAAGCTGGGGTACCTATACACTAATATACAATGCATACAGTGAAACCCTTGAATAAGGGAGACTTTAGGGAAACTATATATTTTCCCCATTTACTCAGAAGTGTCCCTTACTAAGAGTTATACAGAACCTATAAGTGTCATTTATTGAGAGGTGTTTCTTTGTTCAGAGGGTCCTTTTCGCACACATGTCCAATAATGCCACGTGAACAATCCCAGGAGGTTGGGGCCCCTTTTAGAGAGGTTCCACTGTATACTCATCATACTAGGTCCACCTAACGTTCTCAGTGGCTGTCTAGGGATGTTGTATGACTCCGAGTGCCACTAATTACCAGAGACCCCTGTCGTTGGCTCACTCGTTTGCTGGACGGGATTCTCAGCGTGTCCTCTTGCACTCTGAACCCCACCGTCTCTCCAATAAGTCGGATATAGTCCAGGTAGCTGGAGTACTGGCTCTTGGTGGTATTTGGCCTCCTAAACTGAACACACACACATACGTACACGTGTGTTTAACCCCAGTATATTATACCGCATACTTTCACCACAAAGTTCTTCATGAGCACTTTACTTCTATTAGTGGGCCACGCACGCTGGCTCACACTTTCGCAAAAGCTTTTGCTAAAATTTGTGAAGGTTTTTTCGCGAACATTTTCAGTTCTAAGGTAGAGTGTATGCACCATGATCATTGCGTGAATTTTAATTTCACTTTGGCGTTTGCATTTTAAGGATGCGAATCAGACACTCCTTGATAACCCAGTAAAACAGTGACAGAATAGAAGAGATGATTCTTAGCAATATCCCAGTTTACATACATCAGTTTACAAGAGCACCAGGAACTACATTCTTGGCAACGCAGAAACACGTGTCCGCTCTCTGTCGCTCCTTCGCATGTCCGACACGCAAACACACCAGTACACATTAGTTCCTGATTATTACTCCAAGGACTGCCATAATCACTACTTATACATATGTCGAACTCCGGTCGGCCATGCAGTACAAAGCATTCTCTTGGACTGTGTGCATCACTAGTAGCGGAGAGGGGGAGGATTATTCAGCTGATCCACCTAACTAATCCAAATGCCTCCCTCCTCCTCCCCCTACCCTCTCATGCTTGCAGCAGCACACACAATCTACCCACACATACTGTTGAACCTCACTCATATGACACCAACACCTGCATTTGAGAGCTGCTGTGTTATGTACCAATGATTGCCACTATAAACTTCAGTGGGCAAGCTAATTTACCAGTGAAGTCACTTCTACGAATCATTCATACAAGGTGTTGGTTCCTGGTACATTAAACACCCACTTCATTGTACTGTGGGTTCGCTTGCAGTTAATTGGCAACTTCAAACGTTTCTAAAATCATTCACAAAATCTTAAATCATGACTCAAAAGGACGAAATCCCCAACACTCTAGGTGGGTAACATTTGGAAGTGCCCTCAACTCCAAGGCCTAACTCTCTATTGTATGTGTATTGTATCAACCCCACCAATACCACACACTGCTAGAGCAAACATGTGCATCAAAATTAAAATTCAACACATCTTTCTGTACACACTCGACCAATTAACCTCCCCCTATAGCCGCCATAGGTCTATATTGTCAAATAGGGTGTGAACGTATATATTGTTACATTCCTTTTGCCACAAAATGCAATCTTAACACTCCCCAGAATACCCCGCATTACATAAATCTACAGTTTTCTTTACGGACCCAAAACATGCATAAATTATCAATTTCCCCCATTTACTATAAAGTTACACATCTTAACAGTGTAAATAATTATAGTCACTAAGGGAGGTAAGCCACGCCCCACGTGATGTGTATTAGTTAGCGCCACCGTTGCAAGTGTATTGTGGGAATTACTGAATAGGGTTTATAAATAATAACCCGCAAGGTTTAGTACTGAGTCAAGAGTGCGCAGAACGCGTTCAATAATTTTCATAGTACAAGTTGAACGGTGCTTTAACTGGTTTATAGTAAGATTTTCAGCAAACTCTCACACATCTCACGGACTCGACTAAGAGTAGCTCCTGGTAAGTAGTATAGTAGCTCTCGGGCAGGATAGCTGGTCAGCTCGCGTGGGAACGTTTAATATGTTCCAGGCTTCAAACCCACGGCAAACGTCCTCAGCAATGCATTTATTGCACTGTCGATGACTTTGATGTATATACCTACACATCGTGCTATACCAAGTACATTATTGAGCACACCACACAAAGGCACATAGATTGCAGCTACAGGAGGGCACATAATCATAACAAGTGTGCAATGATTTGATAGTCAGTGTGGCTGGTAAAACCCCATTTGATGTACAAATTTTTTGAGCACACATTAATGGAATTCACCACATAACTATGCAGCTGTACTATTGGATACTCTTACATTTCCCACGATCACTTCATACACAACTAGCAACTGCAATTTCCTAAAGACTCCCGTTCATCAATACACACTACCTTCCCCATTGAAACTGTAGTACAGAGGGGGTTTCACCTAGTTTGTTAGGGAGAGACAGACGCTGGTTCAGAAGACAACTCTGCTCATATAACCACTACTTGGAGGGGAGGGGTCCAAGGAGACAATAATTATTTCTGCAAAGTGTTTTACCCCTGCTCAGTCACTGAACAAAATCATCCTCCATTTGAGTGTGCTAATCTGCCCCCTATATACAGTACATAGGTGTATTTCCCAGCACACAGCCAACCTTGGAGTCAAAGTCGTGTGGACAGCAGGGCAAAACAAAGTAGCGAGTCTGGTACGATGACCTGCAATGGAATGTCGGAAGTGAGGTACACTGCAATATAGCGTTGGAAGTGAGGAACGTATTACAGTTGTAATGGAAGAGAAGTGAAGTAGAACGGAACAAAGGACTGGTGCAAGGTAACCTGGCAGCCATGAGAGGGATCCATGGAGTCAGCTCGTCCGAGTGGTTACCAATCAACCAATCAAATTGCGGGAAGACTGTGAGGTCCGACGGTGTTAACGAGCACACCTCCAAGTTAGCTCTGTCGCCATAGTAACCCCATATCTTACGTCTCCGGAGGTCGATGCCCTTACCAGTGTACTGCACACACACAGACAGACACACATTATCATTACACATAGCAAGTTAGGCACTAAAATATTGTGATTAAAAATGCAGACGTACAATTTCTTTTGCTTTTTATACACATGTTAAGAGGCAATTTAAAGCCCTAAGTGTGTGTTGTGTGTGACTCCAAATATTGGAGCCTTCACTCACTCCTTCTGAAGTAAGGAGATAGACAAGAAGTCCGTTGCCGCAACCAAGATCAACAAATGTCTGTTTCTTTGTCAGCCCACGTTCCTCCCTCTCCTTGTCCCACAGCAGCTGCAACACACACATACCATAGGTCCAGCATTAACAACGTTTTGTGCTGCCAATATCACTGCATACGAATGGCCCCTTAAAATTAACATCATATAATGCTAGTTTTTCATGAATGTTATATAACTAACAGTTCAATGCTACTGCACATAGTACGTTGAGCTTACGATGAGGTACGTAGCAATAGCAATATCCTCGTACACAAACTTGTGAGGGTCAGTGGCTTCAGGCCAGTTCTGCAGTGTACAGGGAGGGAGAAGGAGAGGGAGAGAAAGGGGTAAGGAAGAGAGGGGAAAGGAGAAGAGAGGGAGAGAGAGGGAGGGTCATTAATGACAGAGACTTCTGCATTTGTGCAAGTGGCAGTGTGTGGTTTTGTAATGGGCTTGCACGATATCACAACATTGTCATTAGGCCTTCAGAGCCTTCAAAACTAAGCCAAATAAGTGGGCAATTCAACTTTTTTTGCATGCCATAGAAAGTGGGCTGAATTCAGTGCATATTGAGGCAAAAACTCACAAGTGAAAAAAAAATTACCCAGGAAAAGTTTTATATCGAATATTAGATCCCGGTGATTTGAAATCGCGCAATATTCAGCCCACTTTCTATGGCATGCAAAAAAAGGACGTGTTTACATGTGCTCTAATTATTATTATTATATGTAGGTTCACCTGAATGAGTGGAGGTCCATACTTGTCCCTAAGATGTCTGTAGAGAGAGCTGTAGCTGGCGAGAGGGACCAGACTCTCGTGCTGTCTACTGCTTGACGAGGTCTCTCTTCCCCCCCTCCTCCTCTCGCTCTCCTCAGACCACTGTACCACCTTCCAGAGTAACACGGAGTAGAGCCACTCCAATGTCGGGGTGGTTACTCCGTCTGGAGGGGAATGACCGGTATCCTTGCCAGACCCATCGTCTTTGTTCAAAAGGCCAAAGATTGAGAGGGAAACCCTGCAATTTGTCACAGTTGAAACTGCTGAAAAAGGACCCTCTGAATAAAGGACACCTCGCACCCCACACTAATACATTGTTTATTACCTTCGAATAAGGGTCGCCTAGAAATACAGGTCACTTTCAAGGTGTACTGTATTCTTTTTTCACTAATGTTGACATTTTGTATATACTTACTTATGAGGATCTCCGCTGCTGTATTCCAGTCTATATGAGCCACACCCACTTTTGATACTCATTACATCATCCACAGGGGCAAAGGTCGCCGACACCTTTAGTGAATCTGAATTTAGAAGCAATCGATGCACTCAAAAGAATGTAGAATTGAACAGTTGGTAATTAAGGAAACTTATCATGCCACTCACCATGGTGAATTGTGACAGCTTCGTTTCTGGTCTCCACATTCTTTGCTCGCGGAAGCAGCTCCCGTACAAAGACCCGTTCCCTTGCCTCAGACGTTGTTCTTACAGACTCCGAGCCTCCTACGTCCCAGTCTCCCTTCACCAGCACCGCTCCTAGGAGACGTCTGTTGACCACCTGAGGCCGCTTCAGCCACACTTCCAGCCCCGACAGAAAGTCTTCGGTGCCACAGCTCGTCTCCAGATAGCCAATTTCCCTCCACACACATCCATCTTCTGCCGGTGGTAGGGTACAATCCGACATAGTAGTTAGCTGAGAACAAGGCGAAAAGCTAGCTACGAGAACGAGCTAGGCAGCTGTTGTCACGTGTTTACATGTGCTCTAATTAGAAACGCGCGCGCGCGCGTGGGTATTACGTCATAGAATGTTTACCTGCGCTCTAATTAGAAACCAGTGAGCAGAGCGGATGTAGGTTCACGGCGCAAGGCGTGCGGACACTTTGCTGCGAGAATTTAGCTCAGAAAGCCACTTCTGCAGGTACTGGAGTCAATCTCCTTTCTTTGTCGTATCTGTAGCATGTTTATGCCCGCAGAAACTCCTCAGCAACCTTTTCAAAAGTGACCTGAGGTAATATCTGATCACCCCAATCATGTTCTCCAAGAGCAACCTCTTTTGTTTGGGAGCCTTACTCGTCCTGGTTGCGGTGACCTACCAGTACCGCTCTGAAATTGGTCAACTCATTCAGCGAAGCCCGTCGACCCCGAGTAAACAGCCCCGTCGGCCCACTACCTCCATGCCCGGGGAGACGAAACTACCCACCTCCTTCTACAACCCGCCATTTGACCCCGACAACCCTCCCGAAGAGCTACGATCCCCGTCTGGGAGACGACTGTTTACAAAAAATGAGCTGGCAGCTCACGGACCAAACGGCCCATTGAAACCAATACTTCTGGCAGTTATGGGTCTAGTGTATGATGTTGATAAAGCTCCCGAGAATTATGGACCTGAGGGAGGCTACAAGTTCTTTGCCGGGAAGGATGGCAGTAGGGCGTATGTGACGGGAGAGTTTAACGGAGAGGGGCTCACCGATGATCTGGAGGGACTGTCCCCACTGGAGATTGGAGAGATTGAGGGTTGGACCCAGTTTTATGAGAAGCAGTACACCTTCGTTGGGAAGTTGATTGGAAGGTAACCTGTGCCTTTAGTTTTGTGCCTGGTACAAAATGAGACAGTTTGCAAAACCCAGCATTTATCCCACCAACCTTTTAGTAGAAAACATAAGAAGCACATTGCGAGAGACATCCATAATGCTGCCCTGCTTTACTTAGCTTCCTACTATTTATAATCTTTCAAACAAAACACACAGGTGTATATGTGGATGTAAGATGTAAACTGCTATGCGGTACACCTCCAGGTACTACAATGAGGATGGCAGTAAGACTAAAGAGTGGCACGAGGTCCAGGCTCTCCTGAGTCAAAAGGAGGCCCTGGAGGCAGAGAGACGGGAGCTGGAGAAGAGGTTCCCTGGCTGCAACTCTCGCTGGAACAAGAAAGAGGGCGGCTACGTGTTTTGCTCTGAAAAGAGGTCTCTACAGTGGTTGATAATGGTCTAGCAATAGGTGCAGTGAGATAGGCTATGTTACTATTCCATAGTCCAACTGTAGTCAAAGTATTGAAGATAATTAGTTTGTCTCTTCTTACTCTCCTGTTCGTACACAAAATGCAAAATCGTTGACACCCTCATTTGGGAGGACAGAGAAATTTGGGCAAGATAGGGATTGGTGCAGCAAGATGGCTGATGTTACCATTCCATACTCCAACACTAGTCTAAGTACTACGCATAGTTGGTTTGTCTCTTCTTCCATTCTTGTGCCTACAAAAAATGCGAAATCGTTGACACCTTTATTTAAGGGGACAGCAAAATTTGGCCAAGATAGGGATTGGTGCAGCAAGATGGCTGATGTTACCATTCCATACTCCAACACTAGTCTAAGTACTATGCATAGTTGATTTGTCTCTTCTTCTATTCTTGTGCCTACAAAAAATGTGAAATAGTTGACACCTTTATTTAGCAAAATTTGGGCAAGATAGGGATTGGTGCAGCAAGATGGCTGATGTTACCATTCCATACTCCAACACTAGTCGAAGTACTATGCATAGTTGGTTTGTCTCTTCTTCCATTCTTGTGCCTACAAAAAATGCGAAATAGTTCACACCATCATTTGGGACGACGAAATTTGCGAAATTTGGGCAAGATACTAGAAGAAATTGAATTTTATCCACACTGGAAAGCATTTTTTAAATCCTACTGACTAAAGTGATGCAGTGCGCATTTAAATTTTTAGTTGATGTGTTCACACAATGGTACACTGAATGATTATTTGTTTTGATCATGTACATCTTCTCTGCAGTGGTGGAGTTCACCGAGATTGGGTGGGGTTTCCCCGTCGTTACTTTGCCCCTGGGTCCAGCAGTTGGCGGTGCTGTTGTGTCCATGAGAGAGACCTGGACAACCCTCACGTGAAGCTCTACCCGGACTGCGACCCCAGTGCCACCGGCTGCAAGACGGACCCTGAGAAACTCAGGAAACTGAAATCCTAGTGCCATTGTTTTTTAGCTTTCTTTTTAGTTTCTCGATTGCTGGCTACCATGATGATGTTATACATTATTGAGCATCTGACTGTGACAATTTTCCTATAGCTGTCATGCGCGCGCGTGCGCGTACGGTTGACTTGGCCGGGGTTTTATGCGCATGCGCTCACCCGCCGCGCGCTCGTTGACGATCGATCGATCATGCTGCAGTCGGACTACCAATCTTGCGAAGACTCCTCGTCCTCCACAAACACCGTATGTGCACGTCTAGCGTCCTCCAGTCCGCCGGAATCCTTCGCCAACTCTTACCGTCTGCCGCTAGCTGCGCGGGCGTCCTCCCGGTCGCCACGACCCGCAGTCCTCATCATATCGGACGAGATCCCCGTCCAAGACGTCCAGCGGCCGGCTCCCGTTGCAATCAAAACGCCTCTCTCCGTGCACTCAGCTTCGTCTCGAGACTACAGAAAACCCGATGGCAGCAACAACATTCAACATGCACCGCAGCGGGTCATTTCTAGGCGAGTTTGTGGCCGCCACCGAGCCATAACGGCCGTCTGTCTGCTGATATTCGGTGGACTAGTAATCCCAGTGTCGTGGGTAGCTCTCCTGGACCAAAACTCGGGAGCTAGAACCGTGCACTTCAGCCAACATGGTGGACAGCGACACGTGCAATGCCGCGACATTCGGACTCGGTTGCAATTTGTCCTCATCGGGCAGGGGTTGGTGTTATCACTGACGGGCGTGTTCCTAGCGGGATGCTGGTCTGGAGAACCCAACCTAGACCAAGACTGCAACCACAAAGAACCATGTAAAGTCCTAAAGCAGCTCAGTTCCATCTCTACCTTAGTAACGGTGGTGATGGTCCTCAGCTTTACTGCAGTATTGGCATGTCTAGCCTTGTATGTCTGGGAGCTAATGTCCAGCACTATCTACTGTAGCTGGTCACCCAGTGAGTATGCCATACTCGGCTCTCTGGAGCTAGCGGCCACTCTGATGTCTGCAGTTTCTACTGGTGCCGTGTCTATGCTGACCGTCTGCAGAAAGTAAGCCTATTGATATTCGCAGGTGATTCTTCCTCTGGGTGTGTGTGCTGACTGCTGATGGCTACAACTGGATATTTAACAAAGCCTCAAAATTCATGAACTATGCTGCTGAAAACTCTAAAAACCTCTTCATTATAGTCTTGTTGAAAACAGAAAACTGTCATGAAGTAAAATGCACTACATATCAAAAGCTATATACATGAGAATGTTGCACACATAATTGGAGTAACAATGCAGGCAAACAGTGCAGACAAAAGGCCCAGACACACTGGCACACAAAGACATTTGTAGTGATCTATAGAGTACAGACACTGTGCCTAAGAGGCAAGCCAGGGGTGGGAATCCATGGTGGCTCTGTCCCTCTCGCCATAGTCGTACTCCAGTTGTTCTCCAACAGAGATGTCTCTGGCGGCGACTAGACAGAGATATGGCTGTCCATCCACCTCAGCTAGTCTGGTTACCACGTTGGCCGCCGTCCGACTGTGGTTTAGCAGTCTCCCCTTCCTCCCATTGTCTGCCGTCGCATCAACACTGAACGTGTATATACATTAGACATCACGATGTACTTCAGTTCACAAACAAGTGGAACCTCTAAGTGTACTATGACATAATGAATCCATCTCTCGTGCATTTGGCGAACCATTCGTCTCAGTTTTAAGCACACATGTAACAGGCAACTACACTTACACTGTACACATTATTATGTATGAGCCTGCCAGCCAGACTGAAATATACATTGATGCAAAACAAGCAAAACACACTTGCCATAGTTTGTTGCTGTTGTGGGAGAAGTAGTACATGTAGCAGCCGACTGAAGGGTCTTTCCCGTACTCCACCTCTCTCTCCCTGGCCTCTTCCAGAGAGATGAGCTCCCCGGAATACTCGCACACCAACTCACCCCTCGAGAACCGGCGTGTGGAGACTACCCCGCGACCTTTCCCCTCCACCTCCACCACCTATATATCATTTTGTGTCAAAACTAGGACACACTATTATTGTACTTGCAATGTATGTATTATACCTTCAGTCCACTTTCGTCCTTGTTTCTGAGTCTTTGAGCCATTCTTTCAAAATCCTCTTTCTGAAAATACGGGGAACCCCACAATAAGCTCTCCTCCCCACGCCACAACATTAAGTAATTATTCTCCCCCTATAGCATGTGGATTCATGTATATATAGATGTGGTGGGTCAAGGGAAAAGTGATTGTTCTGTGTGTCTCACCTCAACCTCTGACTTTGTCTTCCGACCACTTCTCCTGACTGGGAAATGGTCTCTAATACTGGACTGTACCTGCCTCCTGGAGTACCCACACAAGCACAACACGGCAGTATATGACAGAGGGATTGAACGGAGCTTCACTTCTCACACACAACAGGTGACACACTGAAGCAAAAAGCTACACAAACCACATGAGGAACAAGATACAGACAGTGTCTCAAGTTTTCACCTCACAACTGGCGTGTCGGTACTTCGCTTGGGCTCAACTTTCCTCTCCCTCCTCTCTCTCTCCTGGACCAGACTTCTACTAGAACTGCTACTGCTTGCCTTCACACCTTGCCTTCCTCCACCACCCTCACCCTTTCTCTTCTCTGGCTGTCCATCTATCCCTCCACCATCTTTCCCTGAGGTCTTTCTTCCTCCCTGTTCAACCACTGCCTCTCTAGCTACTGCCTTTGGGGGTGTAGGTTCCAGCTGCCCACCGTTTCCTCCACGTGTTTCGTCTGATCTCTCTGTTGTTGAGGGTCCAGCTAAGGTGCTTGCACGATTTTCGTCACCATCATCTGCTCTTTGTGTGTTTGAGGTGCTGGGCTGTGTAGTTGGCGGTGCTGGTGGCTCTTCTTTCACTAGGTACTTGCTGATTGGCGTCAGACTCTCCTTAGCTTCAGTTTTCCTTCCTGCAGAGGGTGAACGTTGTTCGAATTAACGCCCACCCAACGCGTATGTCGCTCGCTACCTTTTCCTCTTCGTTTCTGGCGTCCTTTCTTGCTCCTGGACCCATCGCTCCCCACAGATGGCTGGCTGGGGCTTTCTGACTGCCTCGAATTACTCATTAAAAAACACGAAAACTGTTGACTCAAACTGTTCAAATTTCGCGGCTAGATAGGGGGCGGGGCCAAAAGCAAAACGCCCACGCCGTGCGCGCCCAGCTAGCTAACTAGTCAGAGATCAAGAAGAGAGAAGATCAGAGACAATGGAGACGCTGGAAGAGAAGTACAGCGAGTCAGAAGAAGAAGAGGAAGACGGAGGGGAGAGGGAAAACGAAACGGAGCTCACAACGACGGGCGATCATACCCGGAGGAGGTCGGGGACCCCGAGCTCGTCTCCAAGTGCGGCCAACGGCGGTCTGGTGGTCCTTATCACCGGAGGCAACGGCCGTCTGGGCAGAGAAATAGCCAGACTGGTCTACGAGCACTGGCCCGGCGTGCAAGAGATACGACTGCTGGACCTGGTACCGCCACAACAGGCGGTCATATCGGGGATCACTGGCTACGGAGAAAGCGGCGGGAAGCCGAGGGTCTCTTACTGTCCCTACGACGTGACGAGGGTCGAGGACCTCCGCGTCTGCTTCGCCAAGGTGCACGTGGTGATCCACTGCGCGGCGCTGGTGGACGACGGCAGCTTGTGCACCCGGAGAAAGATGACGAGAGTCAACGTGGAAGGAACGAGAAACGTTATCGACGCGTGTCTGGACTGCGGAGTCAGGGCACTTGTATTCACCGGTACAATGGCTCAGGTCTACACGTCGAGCATCAAGAGCCCAGTCAGATTCGACGAGGTGTTTGAGATTCCTCGAAACGCCGAGCTCCTCTTCCCTCACTACGGCGGGTCAAAGGGAGCGGCAGAAGTGCTCGTGTTGGAGGCAAACGAACGAAGAGGAAAGGACAGGGTCGTCCTCCACACATGCTCGCTGCGACTCCCCCCTCTCTACGGGGAGTGCGATGCAAACCTCATCCTATCCGGCCTCAGAATGGCAAAGTACTCGTGTGGTTTATCCGTGCACGTCGGTACACGACGGAAAACAATGCAATCCTTGTACTCCGGCAACGCAGCCTGGGCCCATGTACTCGCTGCTCGGAGACTCCTAGATGAGAACACGAGAGAGGCTGTCGGTGGAAATTTCTACTACATCGGTGACGACAGCCCTGCATGGCCACTGGGAGAATACCACAGGCAGTTTCTCAAACCGTTTGGCTACAAGCGAGTCCCCTACCTCAGAATCCCCATATGGCTCCTGCTATTGCTAGCCTACCTTCTGGAGTTCCTGGCCATTTTACTGTCACTGGTGAAGATTGACTTTGCAAACAGCTTGACGAGGGCCAGCGTGAGGTGGCTGGACTATAGTCATTCGTACTCGTGGGAAAAGGCCAGGAGAGAGCTTCTCTACGAGCCGCTGTTTGACCGAAGTGCTGCCTTGGCTCGTTCAGTGGAGTACTACAGGCAACACATATGAGTCGCAACCACTCCAGTGTGTCTGATGCAAACTGTATACACCCACGACATGACAGAATCATCCCCGACATCCACTTGACTTGTGCATCTCTACAGAATGCTTTGTATGACGTTCGAGTGGTAATGACTTTTTGTACTGCACAATGCCTAAAATAATGTCACCTTTTGCATGGATGGTCATGAATAATGTATGAGGTGTGCACTAAATAGGAGCTGGTAGGAATGAGTGGAGGTGGTGGTGGTCAGCTGGTACTGAGGTCACCTCTATCTCTCTACAGACACCTGTTGAGAAGGCTGGCAAAGAGCCTCCCTAGCAATGCCTTTGGCTACTACAAACACAGGATAAGACAGGCAAGTGGTGCAGTGCGCCTCTTCAGGCTGGCTTTAGTGTATGGCACATACGCATCCTGCTTCTTTCAGAGCATGTACGGTTGACTGTGGTGGTTTGTATTGTTCAGGCTGTCTTTGTTTCGACAACTCCTTTGTTTCTGGCTTTAGTGTATGGCACATACGCATCCTGCTTCTTTCAGAGCATGTACGGTTGACTGTGGTGGTTTGTATTGTTCAGGCTGTCTTTGTTTCGACAACTCCTTTGTTTCTGGCTTTAGTGTATGGCACATATAATTATACGCATGATCGTCTTGAAATTGTGCATAACATTCCCTTTGGCAGGCGGCTTCTAGCTCTATAGTGTGCTCTTGAAATCACTCTAAAAAGCCTCCAGCAAAGGCCTGTTTTATTGATCAAGTGCATTGAGCTAGTCACACTCCTGAAGACCCAGAGATTACTCAATTACAAATTCTGCAGGAGTACAGTACCCACTCAGACGAGGAAGACCCCGAGAGAATTGAGCAGATCATGCAGAGAGCCGTCCAAGACACGGAGTGGATCATTGAGAAGGCAAGTTTTCTTGTCCATTCCTATATACTATAATTATTATTAAACACAACACAATACATTATTCTAGTATGAGAAGAGGTGAAGGAGAACTCAAAATGAAGTCAGTACTACAGTTCATGTTAGCTAGTCCGTGTCTGTTCACAAACATGGTTGTACCTCCTGTGTGTCAGAAAAATGCAGCACAATGATAATTATATACCATATGTTATTTTGGGAAACGTTCGAGGAGGAGAAAAGTCTATATAGGGTTTAAATCCTTGAAAGTTATTTTTTCTTATTTGTGTGGGAGTTTTCCACGTCAAATTTTATTGAGTTATAGCAATGTATTACTCACGCAGCATGGCTTGCGTTGTGTTTCTGGGTCCGACAGTTTTTGCCCCAGTGGCAGTCTGGCCTTCTCCTGGCTGACTCTACGGGGAGTCAATATTGACAGCATTCAGAGCGTGTACTGGTTGACTGTGGTGGTTTGTATTGTACAGGTTCTGCCTAGCAGTGGGCAAAAACTGTAACAGGGCCACTAATAGTATAGCCAAAGATCTAGTGTTGGTGATTATTAATTGCCAGTCAATCAACCAACTGTGGGAGTACAGTGGAACCTCTCAGTAAGGACACCCTGAGCTCACTAATACCATGGCCACTTTCTTCTCCAATTGGTGTCGGTCTCGGTTTCCACAGTATGGAACAGTTTCATGTGTCTTCATAATACGTCAATGAAACTGACGTCAATATTTGCCAACAAAAGAACATATTATACTGCATGCGGTACCAGGGAGGTCACTGGTTGGTATGTCAGAGCGGTAGAGGTACACCAGCTGCTTCATCGGTGTCAGGGCACACCTGCGACATGTGACTACATCAGAGGTGATGCGCAAATCTGCCAAAGAAAGACAGTAAAACCGTAAGCCTCACAATCCAAAGGTACATAAAGATGGCAGTGAAAGTTAATTTCCGTTTTTAGTCTAAATGTAGCCCTTACATAGGAGCGATTTAAACCTCAAGCCAGCATGATATAAGTGTTTTGTGTCACTGATGGCTTCACTAGCCACACTTGCCACTTTCCATACTGGCAGACCTGAGCAGTGGTGTTGTCCAGAGTCCAGTCTGCTAATGCACTCTCTCAGCATATCCTTCACAGTCTTACTCTGCCCCTGGAGATAGTCCTGCGAGAACACAAACATCATATCAAATTTTGTGTCACTAAGGACACCCCCTGAAATAGGAAAAACTCTCCAACAAGGACACCTTTTCTTCCCCAATAGCAGCATGTGGTATGAAATAAGGATACCTCACTGACTCGGATCATTTCGAGGGGTTCAGAGTCTTACCTTCAGAACGTTCCATTCGAAGGGGTTTTCATTGATGCTACTGCTCAGAGAAGCCTCACTGACCTCCATGTCTGTAGTAGTGGATACAATGGCAGACTACATATTATTCAAAGGAAAACTGTTGGTCCTCCACCGACACTTTATCCGTAGATAAAACTCTTGCTAATGGATCTCAAACTTCAAGATTATGAAAAAAAATTTTACGCCTCAAAAGCATACTGCTACAGCATAATGTAGCAGGCATAAATAAACACCTTGTTTTCCTATATATATATACTCTCTCTTATTCTCATCCTTCCACCCCCTTCTCCAACCTCTTTCTCTCTCGGCAGCCATCGAGGGGTGGATAGTGTATGTAACAGGCAAGGTTTTAGAGTAGGCAGTACATACCTTTGAAGAGGGACAGGCACCCATTGCAGCCCGGTTGAGAGCATCCCCAGTACATGTGACAGAATGGCTGGTTGCACAGTGCACCTACAGCCAGGGGACAGAGGAGAAATCTGAATGCACACACACACAAAATATTTGCAGAGAAAACTTTTGCAGATCGTTTGTTCTTAAAATGCCCCTGTCCACAGAGAATTTAAGAGGTACAGTATATATATACATTGATACGTACAGAGAAAGAGGTTGTCACGTCAGTTGAAAATGTCAGAAATTTCAAGCAACGGCTCGCAAACTGTTAAATCCGCAATGTTTTTCTCCCGCGAAAGTTTCATGCAGTAGCTTGTAGCGAGAAGCATGTGGATGTGGGGAACATGTGAATACATTTCTGAGGTGGTGTGTTGGAGTCTGCCTCAGCTCTGCGGTCTGGCATGGGCAGGAAACAGCACTGGCAGAGGATGTGGTTGGTGGAGGAGGGGGAGCAGGTGAAGGTGGGAGGGGGAGGATGGGAGGAGGGGGAGGGGCCCACATACGTCGGACACTGGCGACAGTGGAACTGGCCAGGGATTGGCCGACCACCAAAGTTTGATGCTGAACCTGAGCTGCAGAGTAATAGGCATGTGAAAACTATGAGGTAGAAAGGCAAAGGAACAACAAACAAATCAACTACACCTAGGACAGCTCTTTTTTTCCAAGGAAAAATAAAGAGCTGCCCTAGGTGGCATTTGAACCCACGACACTCTGCAGTCTAGGCGAGCGCTCTAGCAACTGAGCTACCAGGTCACATGTACATAACATGACCAACTCCCGGACTCCCTGGTGTAGATATAGCACCTACCAAACCCCTTGCCCAAACCCGCCAGCACATAGCTACAAAATGAGACTAAGGCGCATTGCAATCGGTTTTGTGGGAGCCTTGGAACGAGGCTAAGAAGAAGAGAGAGGAGAGATGAAGATAGGATGAATAAGGGAGTGGAATGAGGGAGGGAGGGGAGGGAGAAAGGGACTATATATAAAGTACCCAAAGAAGGACGAAGGTCCACCTATGAATGGAGGAGGAGAGGAACCATATTCTGAGTTATCAGTGTCACTGTGGCTATAGTCATCATCGTCATACCGCCGCTTTGGGTACAGCTGCAACCAATTCAGCAGGGAGTGGAAGAGAGTGCTTCTATCATACTGCAAAATATAGCTCACCATGTCTCTGGTGATCTTGTTCTTTTCATTCAACTCTTTCAAATCCTCTTCTGACCTCTTTTTCCCTACACAAAAAGTTCAGGCACGATATACACACATGCATGCTCTTTTAATCCTACATCATATGCATAATGTCGCTGCTATCTCTTTGTTCTTTCTCTCCCTCGCCCTTTGTTTCCAACACGCTCACCTGGGTTTGCCCTGAGAAAGGCTTCCACAAGGTTGTTGACAAGATGGTTCCTGTTGACTCTCTTCACCTTACACCGACACTGGTGGATAAACAAATAAATGTGCAAACAACATACAAAATGACAACTGTTCCATCAGTTGGGGACTCACTGCTGGGCATTTATTAGAATCCTTCATCCACTCTGAGTAGCAGCCGCCACAGTAGCAGTGCATACATGGCTGCAGGCTGCATTGTACATAACACAGGGGGCATCAATTTCCTACACATTCCTCTTGACATTATAGCCCATAGTACCTGATGCAGTCATGGAAGATTTCCTGCAGGGTATGGAGGGAAAAAGGTTCAACAACACGATCGTAAAAGAAAACACAACTACATATTATACTGTGTTTCATTTGTGTGAAAGTCTGCATGCACGGTGAACCTGGCATATCTGGCATATGAGGGTTTGTTCAATGGAGCCTGTTTTGACAAGTGCAGGCACATCTGCCCCAGCTTTAGAGCTACCAGCCTCCTCCTCTTCCTCCTCCTCATCCTTCTTCTTCAGACACTCTTTTGTAAGGTCACTAGCACTCTCTTCCTGTTGACCTGCCTTCTTAGAATCCTGGAAACACATGTGCACATGTACTAAAATGTACATCATATATATATATATATATGTGAGGGGGCATGGGAAAAGGGACCTACATGTATATGGCTGGAATGTGAAAATTTTAAGTTTTTGTGGTTTTTCACCCTCAAAAACTTAATTTTCACATTCCAGCCATATACATGTAGGTCCTTTTCCCATGCCCCCTCACATATACATACGTACTAGCTGCTGCTTGGGGCAGAGCCCAGTCGGCCTGACCTTCTCCACATCGACAGTGGCCACTGGTCCACTCCTGCTCTCTTCCTCCCCCTTCTCCTCCAGCTCTTCTTCCTCTTCTCCCTCTGTCTTCTCCCCTCCTTCCTCCTCTAGAGCCAGTCTCTTGGTCCCAGGAGCACTCACTTCCTCTGTCAGTCTCCTCTTACATCCTCCACCTCTCCTCTCCACTACATCTATACAACCACACATCACTACATTGTAATACATCTATCCCAGCCAAGACATCTCAGGTGTATTTGAACTTAGAAGTAGAAGTCGACAATGTCGTTAAATGAGCACATAAAACGAAAGTCTGCCTTTAAAAATCCTCTTAAAGTCCAGATAGTTATGTAGGAATAAATATTGGCAAGCCACGGCATTCTCACCGTTGTCCTCCCTATTCTCAGTGTCTTCATCAAGGGACTGTGTCAAATCCAGAGTGTCGTCTCCTTCCTCCTCTGTTCCTGCACCTGCCTCAGACGATGGGTCAGTCGGAACGAGATCTTGGAACCTGTATGACAAGTCTGGATACAACAGGAAAACACAATTCACTTGTCAGAAACGGGGAAGAGAGAGGAGGAGGAGGAGGAGGAGGAGAGGAGTGAGGAAGGGGAAAAGAAAAGTGGAGAGGAGAGCATAAAAATAGAGGGAGAAGCGGAGAAGGAGACTGAAAGTAAAAAGATTAGAGTAAGGAGAGAGAGAGAGAAGTGATAGGGGGAGAACTCACTGAAATCAGGCTTGTCCCTCCTGAACACCACACCTATGACATTGCCATCCCTCAACTTGACCTGAAAAAAACAAAGTACCACCCAATTCTGTAGGGGCTTCACTTTCGTTCACCAACTCACTCTCTTGTGTCTCTGGAGCCTTGCTCCGTTGAGTAGTGTTCCGTTAGAGCTGGAATCACTTATCCATTTCCCTCCCTTCTCATCTCTCTCCAACAGACAGTGCCGCGAGGAGACAAACCTGTTCTCCGCCACCACCAGCTCCACGTCTAAACACGGAACGACGGAGGGGAGTAGCGGACACCGCAAACGGAAAAACGAACCTTTGTCTCTTCCTATCAGGAACTTGTGTCCCAGTACGGGGACTCTCTCTTCCTCCGTCCCAGCGACGTTGCTAGTGGATATCAGTTGGCCCCACGGCTCTTCCAGCTCCTCCTGAGACATTATCATCCAGACTCAGCTCGCATCACTTGTCTTTGATAAATTTGAGGGGGCGTGGCTGAAATCTATGACCTTTGCACTCTAGCGGACGTCGTGCGGATCCGAATGCGGTCTGTCGCTGAGGATCTTCGGCTTTGCTCGCGGCTTTGCTTTTGTCTTTAGGTTTTCCCTGGGCAGGTCACAGGAGCGCTGGAGCGCCCCTGGAAGGAGGCCAGAGCTCTATGTGAGTCATATGACGTAGATGTTGTCCTCTGCTTCACACACTGTAAGTCGCGAGAGAGCCGGTGAGCAGGCTTCTATATCTACATAGCGTGGCTGGCAGTCTAACCATGGACGACTTGTGTGAGTGCGTGTGCGAGTATATCTGGGCCATGCGCCGAGTCCTAGCAGCAGTAAGTCCGTGGGACACCCACAGTTGATGTAATGATAATATCTACGTCTTCTCTTTTCTTCCAGATGCACACCCAGACGCAGTGCACTGATATAGAATGCTTCACTGAACGTAAGTAGAGCCCATGAGCGGCCTAATACACTAGTAATCAGTGGGTATTATGCATTCCTGTCAAAAACATTCTTGTTAGGCAACAGTGTCTACTAGTGAATAATGCAGTCAGCCAGCTTGTGACAATAGATTAGGTAGGGGTGGTCATCTCTGCCTCCTATTCTGATCTCATTGACTGTCATTGATTCCTATATATTGGTCACTGCCAATACCGGCCATTTAGTCATCATGCAAATTGTCTGTGACTGGCTTTAGTCATTACTAGAGCGAATGCATTTTTGGCAAACTATGGCGAGTAGTTCGATTTTACGCTCACATATTTAGAATCACGTAAAGTATTAACGGTTTGTGCAGTGCCCATCATCACATTATAGAAAAATCCGTCAGACAACTAGGTGGACTCGCTTTGCTCCCAAACTACTCTTTTTAAGGTAAAGCAAATGTACACCTTGGGACCCATGCACAGCATTGTTTTGGTGACAAACTGCTGGCCCTGCAATATGTATTTGCCTAAGGCAGCTAATAAACCAGGAAAGAAATTCAGCTAGTTACTGTGTGTGCTCTGTATTACTGTAGACCCAGGCTATGAGCCAGGGAGTGGAGAAGATGACAGTGGGTCGGGAGGACTGACACACGCTATGCTGGTTGTCCTTCTCTGGGTTATCATTGCCGTGGTCCTCTTCTTATTCAGGTGACTTCCTCTCCCCTCCCTTTTCCTCTCTCATTTTCCTCATTATTCGCCCCCTCACTTGTTTGCTCTTCCAATTCATCTCCCTCCCTCTTTCTTTGAACCTTTCTCATGTCAATGATTCAAATTGCCATTTACTCACAGACCCAGAAGTCTTCGCGGCTCACCCAATGGCAAACCGCCACTCAGGGACAATGGAGAAGTGAGTCAACTATGCACATGCGATGTTCACAGCTTTGAAAGTTCTTGCAATACTGTTTACTGCATAGCGAGGATCTAACAAGGGACAATAATTTCCCGGCTTCTGAATCTTCCACGATATTATGTGCCTGCAAAATTTTTTGAGGCATGTTGTATTTTGAGACAAGCAATCTGGAAATATTTGCTCCACTAAAATAATTTTTGAGAATCGCAATTCCAAAAGTTTCCTGCAATACAGTATATACACTATAATAAATTATACTAGTTTTGTGCTGTATTGAATGCAGGATGATCAATCTCCCCCCGAAGGCCAAGTTCAGTGACGGACAGACTTTCTTCCAGTTGTATATATATAACCGTTGACTCTCCCGAAATCTACATTGTTTCATGTTTCCCAGTGTTTTGGATTTCATCACCTGTTCTCTGCTATTGTGTATATATTCTGTCATTGAGCATTTCACGACCTACAAAAGTGATATATTGTATGAATGTTCTCTTGAACGTAGTGAATGCACAAAGGGGCACGCAGGCGAGGGAAAAAGTGATGCAATTTCGTGGGTCAGGAAGGTCAATCCGCTCCGTAATCGTAACGTATATGGATAATATCCGGAAATGTACGGAAAATAGCGGAAGTTGTTTGCACGTGGACGGCCGCCGCTGCTACTCTGCAGTTGCTTGCATTTTGGAGTGTGGCTCTCTCCAATGCTGGAAAGCTTCTCGTGCGTTGAATTTGTAGTTCAGCGTTTGGTGCGCAAGGGCAAGGAATCGAGGGTGCTGTAAAAAGGTAAGCTACTTTTATGTGCAGTGAACTTTTATGAAAATCAACACTTCCGCGGCTCGCTGCATGCTGCTTCGACAGGTCAGCAGTGTAGCAGCTCAGAAGAGAAAAACTTTATACGGCCCCTTACCAATAGCTCTGGAATATGGCAGCTGTTTACAACGGAAATTGGGATAGCGGCATGCCTAGACACGCCCCCTAAAGCACATTGGAGCATTTTATTTTCAACCCTTTGATTCCTTCTGAAGATGCCTGGTATTCTCAAAACACACGAGGTGGAAGATGAGGAGCGATGCGAGGGAGAGAGAGAGAGCGGAGAGGGAGTGACTGAACAGAAGAACGAGACAGCAGGACGCATCTCTAACAGGGGAGGGAAGGGAGAGGAGGAGAGGGGAGAGGAGAGAGAGGGCTCCTCTACCACGTGCAGCACTCCGGACGCTGCCGGTAAACAAGCACCCTAGCATGCCCGATTACCCTATGTTCTACGTAATGTCATGTAATAGGCCAGCTCGCGTATAGTTTCAGCGTTACGAGTTGGCATAAGGAAGTAGGTAATTTCTAATGTACTGAGGAATTAACCCAGCCTTTGAGGTGTCGTGGGCGTGCGGCCAGCAGTAACTGGAGTTGCTATGGGCCAGTAATCCGGCAGTAACCTACATTGTGCAACAACCGGTGTGTACTGTAGTTGAGTTATGTATATATAAAGCAGCTGTTTTGGCAGTGTGAGGTTTGTGACCAACCACCATACAGTAGAAAACATCAGGTTCATGTGATAGTTGTGCTGATAATGTGTTTTTTTGGCCCCCTGCTTCCCATGTGATCTGTGTCAGAAAGGATGGAGGGGGTGTGACCTCGAAAAATGCGTAATGTATTTTATCCTGCCCTTAGCAGCGCAGGGTGGAGTGTTTAATGACCCCTGGAATTGTGGCAGTGGCCTGTAATTTCAACCTGGCCCTGGCATAGGAGATGTGAAATAGCTGTAACCCCTCCACTTATGGGCTTACCCCTAGCACCAAAAAGGGTTAAATAATACACCTGTTATGGCAGTTTTTTAACTACCCCTGGGTAAGAGTATCTCTAGCTAGCATTTTTAGTTGTGACACGAAAAAGTATCATTTACCAGACATTACGCTATCTCTCTATCTGTGCTGGTCTTTTGACGTCAATAGACCATTCAGTGGTGGCCCTTTTATGGCGCCACCTGTCCTTTTCTCCCATTGGCCCACCCAGTGTACTGTTAGCTAGTGTGGCTACAAAAGACTTGACACCTAAAGGAGGGCAAATGAACGGCCCTTTTTACAGTTATTCATGTGTCCACTATGTATGGAGGTGAATGGGGCCTTATCAGAGAGTGGGGGAGTGAAACATTGTGTGTGTGTGTGTGACCTTGGTGTGGACCCTGGTATGATTGTGGTTGGCTCTGGGATAAGGTTGAAGTTGAAACACACCCCCTAATACTACTATGATAGACTGCGAAGTATGGTTGATTGTGAGTGAAGTGTTGATTTCAGGGGTGGTTTGCTGAACGATTGCTACTTCCTTTAGCTTTGAGCTTTTCCACTACCATATTTTCCTTTCCCCTCCCTCTTTTCTTCTCCTTCCCTCTTTCTCCCCCATTTCTCTTTCTTCCTCCATTTTGCTCTCTCTCTCTCTCTCTCTCTCTTTCTCTCACCGCTCAGATCTAGACAATTCCTCCAGCACCATGGCCAGTACGGAGGGAGATAGCGACTCCAAGAACGGCGACAGTCCCCCCAGTAGTCTGGGCAACCCGTTGCCCGATGGGTCGGACCGAACTCAACGGGACGGTGGCAATCAGTCGGGAGGGACCAAGGGGAGTGCGTCAGGGGGTGGTTTGGGGAAGACGTCGCTGCCACTGAGCTGTGAGATATCCACTGTCGTCCTCCGTCTCGCTCTGCCTGGTGTCTCCTCACCTGTGGAGGTTGTGGTGAGTCAATTTGTACTGCTGTTCGTAACGAGATTACTCTTCACAAAAATAGCCTTGGGAATATATGAAATTTTCAAACTGCAATCCAAATTTTCACCTCTTCATTTTTGCCAGCCTGTGTTTGTTTAGTATATATATGCTTCTCTCTCTTATTTTCATGCCACCCACCCACCACCAGATGTCGACGAGGGACACGGTCCACGACCTCTCCCAGCTGCTACTGGAGAGACCGGAGAGCTGCTATCGAACGTGCACCTCTGCCTGGCACCGCAAGAGGAGACTTGACGACTTCTCTGAGCTGGGGATGGTGGAGGAGCTTCAGGGTGGCGACCTGGTGGAGCTTATGGAAGGTGAGATGTACGTGTGTGTGTGTGTGGGGGGAGAGATTTACTCAGTCTAACCTCTTGAACCTGTGCTATACTTCTCGTTATAATTCTCTTCTTACTGAGAAAGCAAGCAGCTCAGCGAACCATTTTTACATTATATTGGGCCTGAGCGCATGCTTCCCTAGTATTATTATAACTATTGTTACCAGCTCTCTTTATCTCCTTCCTTCTATCTTCCTCCTCAATACGATACCTTTCCTACTCAGAATGTGTGTATATAATTTATGATCTTCTATTACATGGTTCGTCGTTGCTATTGTTACCAACTTTCTCTCTCCTCCTCTCCTCCCTCCTCGTCTCTCTCCCCCAGAGCCGTACACCCAGAAGGACATCCGCATCCATCTCCAGCGACTCCGAGAGCTCCTCACCGTCTCCCCGTTCCAGCAGTCTCTCACCAACGCCGACGGAATGACTCTCTCCCTCCTCTCTGCCATCACTCTCAGGGACCCCTGAAGGTCAACTACTCCACTACTTTCCCTTTCACTTTCATTGATCACGTTTTCTAGAAGAAAATGCTGTCGAATCGTCCCGCATGTGTGGCACAGTAAAACCTAAGCATTCACAAAAAAACTTTCCTGATTTGTAAATTTTGCGTATTCTAGGTGAACTACTGTGTAGCAAAAAAATTAATTGTGTAAAAAAATATTTTGTGAATGCAGTCACACAGTGTATGGTGTGCAAAATGGTCAGAAAATAATTACTTTCGTACATTTGCAAATTGTTGGATAGCATGATCTCTACCAACTTCATTTGTCTTCTATTGATGATGTCGTTGTGATGTCGTTCATTGTTGCAGAGATAGGTACACGTCCCCGAGACGACTTTGTGGACCTGTCCCAATTGGAGCCCCCCTCGTACTGTCTCCCTAGAGATGGGACCACGCCCCTTTCTGCCTTCTATCCTTCCAGCCTTGAGGCACACTTCAAGGTACAATTGGAAGCAAGCGAGTACTTATGAAAGAGTGGAGGAGGGGCCAAGCCCTGAGTCTGTATATTTCAATAGGTTTACTTAAACTGTAAGAGGGGTTAAATTTGCACAAGGGGGACAAATTAGTGCCCCCTTGCCCCCTTCCCCTTAATGAACCAGTGGTAAGGGGGGCTGTATGTTGAAGAAAGAGAGAAGTCGATGTGTTTTTCCGCCTGTGTGTTTGTCTGTAGGTTCAAGAGTGTATCAAGTTGATATCTTACAGCCAGTGGAACCCTCCTCCCAGCCACCGCAGGATGAAAGGTACGCACATCATCGACCTCTCTTCTCGCTCTATCTTTTCTTCACATTTTTTTGCCAGCCGTTTAATTTCTTCAAACAGCTAGCCGCATGCTTCCATTATTGACATAACCACTAAAATCTCTTGATGTTTACCTCTTTCCCCTCTCTGTTGCGTGTACATATTAACTCCTTTCTCACCTGCAAATCTCCACCTCCCCTCTCTGTTGCGTGTATTAACTCCTTTCTCACCTACAAATCTCCACCTCCCTCTCAGGTGACCTACTCTATCTGGACGTGGTGACACTGGAAGGGGCAGAGCATTACATCACGGCCTGTCCCTCCGGATTCTTCCTCAACCGCTCCACCGCCCGAGACACCTTTGACCCCGCCCCCAAGAAAACCTCCCACCATCACAAACATCTAGTGGGACTCCTCTCTGCCGTGAGTTGGCCACACTTTCTGTTGCTTTTTTTTATAGCGGGGAAACTTCAGAGCAAGAAAAACTCCATAATTCGGTAGAAAAATATAAAACCTTTTTCAATGGCCTCCAAACTGTGAATTTCGATACATTAGTGTATTTTTCGCTGTGTGAATACGTGATTTTGTAGGTTTTTTTGTTGCGTTGAGATTACATGTTTTGCTCTCTCTTTGCACTGTGCAGATCAGCCCACTCTTCAAGAAGAACTTTGCACTCCTGCAAAAGTTCGGGTTAGTTTTTCGAATCACATTTTGCACTTTCCCTAAACATGTCCCCACCACTCCCTCTCCTCCCTCTCCTCCCTCTCCTCCCTCTCCTCCCTCTCCTCCCTCTCTCCCTCGTTTTAAACCTCTCCCTACGTCCTATGTGCTGTAGGGAGAAGAGGCATCCGTACGAGCTCCTCCCCACCTCCTATCCTCTCTACCCCTGGCTGGCGCCCAGACCTGAACACAAACCTTCTCCGTTCAGACTCAGCGACGGTCAGTGTGGAGAAACGGCGGCTCCAAACTTAGCATTTCTCGTCTCTGTCTTCTGTTGTCTCTGTTTTTCCGATTCAGCTGCTCGCTTCAACTTTTTCCCTCCCATTTCCCTTCTCTCTCTTCTCTACATATCTCTGACTGAATGTGTAGTTAGCTCGGTGTATCGGTGTGTAGCATTCCTTGTACATTGTAGCTCTTTCTTCTCTATGTCTGACTGAATGTGTAGCACTAGGCGTAGCTCTCAATAGAAAATTGTAAGAACAGCTCTACCTCCCATTATTCTATTGTCTCCGCCACACGATCATGTTTCTTCCGTCCGTCTCCCCTGGCTGCAGGCATGCAGCTGAAAGCGGCCCCGGACGAGGTGATAATGGGTCAAATGAGAGATTGGAACGAGGAACTGCAGTCAGCCCGGGAGCTGCCCACCGACACGCCACAACTCAAACTGTTCAGAGACAGAACCATCTATAAAGTCAGTTGCCTCCTTTTCTTACGTGGCTGTTTCATTGCGCACCAATATACATGGAGACGTTGCTTACTAAATCTCTTAGAAACTCGACATCGACTTCACTAAGTGCCTGTGGCACCGTTTTGCACACATAAAAAAAACTTGCCATTGAAACCATGTGCATTGGACACCATATATACTAGTGATGAAAGAGAACTCTGCAATATTGTATGCCTGTATATGTGGCTGCTGTGTGTAAATGTAAGTCATAAACCCTCCTCCTCTCTTCCCCTGTCTCTCTAGATCCACTGTGACCTGGTCCAGGTGGCCACCAGAGGAGCAATGCTGTCAGTGGACGGTTTCATCCCCGCCCTCAACCCCGGAGACCAGGAGAAGTCAGTGTCACGTGACAACCCCCTAATGTCATGTGATTCTCATGTGGCAATGTGTTGGGGAGTGTGAAATTTCATCGTAATGTCGCTATATTTGAATGAGTATTGGACTTGCTTCACGTGCCAATTAATTTGATGGTCACATGACCAATCCCAAATATTATGTCACTGTCATACAACTAAACCCTAATTAAGTGTGATGGTCACCTGACTAATCCCTGATATAATATGCTGGTCACATGACTAATCATGTGATCTCTGCAGGTTCCGCATGTTCCTATGGAACAACCTGTTCTTCAGTCTGGCGTTTGATGGTAGAGATCACTACAAAGCATATGGAGGAGACGAGGCTGCCCACGCCGCTGCTGTGAGCGCACACACACACACACTACTCTCTACTTCTCTTCTTTCCACTGTTCTGCCTAGTGTGACGGTCAAACCTCTTATTAAGACACTCCACTCCCATCTCTTTCTCCTCTTCTGCCCCCCTCCAGTCAGGAGACCTCCATGGGGTGGAGATGTTTGAACGACTCGAGACCAAAGACCTCTACACTCTGCAGACAGTAATAGTCGACTACCGAGGATATAGAGTCGTCTGCCAGTCCATAGTCCCAGGTAGACCATCCTTCTTGAAGATATAATTTCTTCTTCTTCTTCTTCTTCTTCTTCTTCTTTGTAACCTACACTAAAGGAGTGCTGCCCCCATGCCTGAGAAGCTAAATCTTAACTTTTGATAAACTGGGGGCATTTGGGAGTACCAACAAAGATCCGTGGAAGTCCAATAATAAGATGGTCCTAAATTATTGCTGCGTGTGTCCCGTGGTGTGTGCAGAAGCTGTGTGTGTGTGTCTATCAGTGCGTCGTGTGAATTGAAGATGGAACATGTGCCTCCAGTGCCACATAAACTGTTCTTGGAGTACCAAATGATTGTTTGGAGTCCAGTAATAAAGATGGTCCTATATTATTGCTGCATGTGTCCCGACAAGCATGTTGTGCGCATGCTGTTTGCAGAGGATGTGTGTGTATCGGTGTGTGTCGGGTGAAAATGGTACCATCCTGTTCCCTCCTTGTCTCCACCCAGGTCTGTTGTGGAGAGAGCAGGAAGCTGCCGTGATGTACGGCTCCATTGACGGAGGCAAGACCATTGCAGCTGACCCGACTTTCTCAGAACTGGTGAGAGCGAGAGGAACAGACCAGCTCACCACAGTACACTATCATGTGTGATGTTCTCTTTCCTACCCACTTCTACAGCTATCTAATGCAGCTTCAGATCTTCACATAAGACCACACAAGTAAGCTAACTTAAACCCCCCACGTTACATTTTCTTACAGTTTAAACATTACATATTTCCTATTGAACCTTGTTACCTTTTGTTATGTACCTTTTCGTGCGGTTTTTTAACATAATTATATGTACACATATTTGTTATGCGTGTATTTCCTAACTGTTACATTGAGCCACTATAACTCATTTTCTTCCAATGGACAGGTTGAAGACTGAGGCTGGGGGAGTCGTCGAGCTACCGTCTTCACTGGAGGTCAAGGTATGATGTAATGCACCGCAACTAATGCAGTGCCTTTTTGGCAAGTGAAACACAAAGTACGTCCATAGAGAGTGATGTTTGAGCCAATCTATAATATTATGATGTTTGCGCATGAATACAGCTACACATAATTGCTGGATCAGAACTTTACCTACAGTAGATACATAGCTCTATTAGCTGTAACAAACAACTATGTATGTACAGTTTATTTCTTGCGGTGCTTTTAGTAGAGAAGCAAGCAATGCCTGTGTGTGTGTTTGGAGCTCACTCACGCTGAATTCCGTGTCTTCTAAATCTCGTATAATTCACGTTTCGTGAATTCTAAGTGCCCTGTCAGTGGCGCCGTTACCCCTCGTGCAACCCGTGCACGCGTGAAATCGGGTGTGCGTCAATTAGAATTCGCCGAAGGGCCCGAGGGCTTCTAAATGTGCGTAGATTTCACGGACGAGCTGCCTAACCATTATTTAGATCAATGCTCTGGTGTGTTGTTTGGCTGCAGGGGATTCTGGGGACCGACAGCAGACGATATGCTCTGGACCTTTTCAGAATTTTCCCTCCCGACCCCAACTACACTCCTCTGGAGGAGGAGGAAGAAGAGGAGGAGGAGGGAGAGGGAGGAGAGGGGAGAGAGGGGGAGGGAAAGAAGGGATTTAGACACAAGTTGGCTGTCTTTAGACCAGAGCTATTGGAAACCTTTCTACAGTAAGGAATACCTCAACTAAAGTAGATCTGAATCTGTTTGCCATACATTAGATAGGGGATTGTCTTACTCTCCTTCAGTGCATTGGACCTGCAACCTAACCTACATCGCTAGGGTAGAGGGCTAAACTGTGATTATGAGCCTGAGCCCACCATGCATTCAGTGCGAATGGGATTCAAACTGAAGAGCTGCTCAATACACACAGCACACTGATCAATCTTGTATAGGTGTGAAACTCTTAACTGAAGGGGTCAGAGCCAGAGTGGGCCAACCCTCAATATACAACTCTTGCCGGTTTTTGTTCTATAAGGACATTTAGAACACATTTGAAGGAAAAACGGCAAGAGTTGTATATATATTGAGGGTTGGTCCACTCTGACCCCTTCATTACCTCCGTATAATTAATGTCTCCACATATTATATACACTGCAGATATCGCTACCTGCTGTTCCTGAAGCTGGCCAAGGAGAAGGCATGCAAGCTGCAGGTCATCAAGGATCTTCACCAGGTCAGCATTTGAATGTAGGGTCTTCATTTGAAGTTGTAGAGTTAAAGTCAGTCTTCCTTGCGGCTAAAGTTTTGTTTCAAGGTCACCTACGTATAGGAGGAAGAGCTGTAAGTTGAGGATATAGTGTTTGGTTTAGATCAACATGCACTCTCTGCGTAAACATGCAAACATGTTTCGTTAATCCTCTTTCCTGTCGTCACACGAGCGGAAAGAGTATTAACGAGGAAGACCAGGTCTCTGAGGGCTCTCCAGCAACTGATATGAATGTTTACAGTGAAACCTCTGAATAAAGCACACCTTCGGGACATTGAGGCAACCCTTATTCTGAGGTCACTTATGTATTTAGTATAGAGGGGTGTCTTTTATTCGGGGGTGCTTTTTCTGTTTCTTTTATCCAACATACTGTACGCTGTATGTCTGAAGGTACTGCAGCACCAGGAGAAGGACAGTAGAGGCGATGAGAAGACAGCTCCCAAGTCAGACTCTCAAACATCCGCTGCAGAACCCACGTCAACTTCAGCAGCTCCCTCCTCATCTTCCTCCGCTGTGCCCACCTCCTGTTCCTCTCCCTCGTCCCCGGACGTCGTGGCGACTGGTACGGAATCGGGACAGACCACAACTGGATTGGAATCGGGACAGACAACCGAGGCAGGCGGTAGTGAAGCTGCTACTGCGACCGTGGCGACCGGTGGGAAGTGCCCCTTTACTAACGAGGTGGCCAGTCCCGATTCCAGGTCGTCTGGAACTGATTCCAGTCTGTCCAGTTTGGGTTCCAGTCCAGGAACATGGCGGCTGGCTGACACTTCTCTCTCCAGGTAATAGCATACATCACTATATATAATTTGGTGTGGCGACCATTGAATTTGGGGGTTTTATGCTAAGAAATTCTTTGCCGAGTAAAATTCTTTTTTTCTCACTTCAACTGTAGATGTTTTGCCTCTTGAACTTGTGTGTATGTACTTGTTCTGTAGACTAAGCAAAGGAGGTGGTGTGGGTGTTGGGAGAGCTAACATGAGCATACTGACAGCCCTGGGGGGAGGAGGGGAGGAAGGGGAGGGTGTGACGAGGGATGTGGGGACAAAGACGGAGGGAGAGGGAGAGGGGAAGAAGGAGGAAGTCTCAGCCGTGTCGCTCAACAGCTCCGCAAGTGGTAAATATGTTATCAAGTTCGGCCGTTTTTGACAATTTTCCGATTTAGGTCTCAAATTAATGTGCACCCACGAAATGTTCTGACTGCATTAATAACAGTGTTTGTTTTTGCATGCATAGTATGTATGTATGTGGCTCTCTCTACAGTATGTGTATGTACTATGTGACTCTCTCTCTGCCCTTTGTGAAGACAGGCGTGCATGTGCTTCAAAAAGTTCACTTTTGTTTTTTATGTTGTGTTGGTGTAGGTGAGGTGTTACTGGTGGATGGACTGCAACTGTTGGTGGAGGAAAAGGAGGTGGGGCCAGAGGTGCTGCCCGGAGCCGAACTTCTCCCGACCTCTGACCCCAGTGACCCCAGTGACCCCAATCTCGAGAAGGGATTGAGCACCTCTGAGATACTGAAATGTGAGGCTCCGTGGAATCAGTGGGAGGAGGAGAGGGGGGGAAGGAATGACAGAGGAGGCAATGACACGGTTTCCTGATTGTCACAACCGAAATTGAACTACAACTAGCACCTCGGGCACCAAATTAGTAGGGGTCATGTCCCCATAACCATAATCCTTAGCCATTTGCGTATGAATCCTGAAAAAGACTTCTCTTGTCCCTCCAATCATTCTCCCCCTTCTCTTCTTTTCTCTCCCCAGCTCACCCAGAGGTGATGTCGGCTCTAAGAGATGCGGCTCTGGAGGCGGGGTCAGTGGAGGGGGAGGAGTTTGACATCAGGTTCAACGTCGACGCCCTCTCTCCTGGAGTCACCCACGCCGACCCTCCCGTACGTCATACTTCACTGCTTTCACAAAAACTGGGACTCGCAGCTTATGTCACTGCTATAGGAGGTGTTGGAGAGAGATCGCAAGCTGCTGAGAGAGACGGCGGCATTCCTCACGGATGTGGTGATCCCTCGCATGGTGCGGGAGTGTGTCCAGCTCACCTTGGTCCCCACTGACGGAGAGTCGCTCAAGACGGCCATGCACGCCCGCGGCATCAACATGCGCTACCTCGGTCGCATCGCCACACTCGCTTCTTCCCGCGAGGACCTGGAACACTTGAAGGTGGGTGGAGTCGTACAAGGCAGTGAATATCATTTCAAAAACCACAACTGTTTCGGGTATTTACAGCTATTGAGTATGCATACGTGTGTGTGTGTGTGTGCAGAGGCTGGGTGTGAGTGAGATGGTAGTCAGAGTGGCCAAAAGAAGGCTCAGGAGACTTCTGCAGGAAGGTATGTGCTCTTACTGTACACACTTTCAGTAGCAGTAAAGTTAGTAATAGTTACCCTTAATATGCTGCAAATTTGAGTCTTAGAATTTGTTTCATCACTTGTAGATTCCTTCAAACAATTTCGCTCTGCTGAGTTAGTAATCTACTATCTGAATCAGTAATCTATGGACTCGCACACTAGTAATCTCTCCCTCCCATAGCACCGTATGAGAAGGTGTCAGAGGCCATTGCCCACTTCCTGAACTGCTTCCTGGGCCACACGACGGAGACAAGAGGAGGAGGAGGAGGAGGAGGAGGGAGGGGTCAGGTGGAAGAGACGGCGGCAGTCACGGTCAATGGCCACTCATCCAGCTCCGGCAAAAAGAAACAGAAGAAGAAGAGGAATTCAAAAGGACAAGCTTCTTTGGGTGAGAACTCAGTTGATAAACTACACATAGCCGCCGCATTTCCAACTTTGTTTCCTGAACCTTATATGAGCAGAACTTTACAGAGAGGTGTCCTTTTTTATTCGGAAGGTCCTTTTCAGGGTCCCACTGTACTTGGTATAACAGGGAAGGCATTGTGTGGATTCTTGTTGTATAGTAGAGTGATTGTATTTCAGAGTCGGCTCACCTGAGGCTGAGTCCAGCCAACCTCTGGTCTCATATCGTGGAGGAGGTGGAGGACTACTACAAGTATACCATTCAACAGTGAGCCAGTCTCTCCTCTCTCTCTTTTTCTGCTAATCTATAGAATTGAGCAGTGGGCCAGTCCTCTCTTTTCTGCTAAACTATAGCACCCTCTTTGTAATGTGTGAGACCTTTCCTGGGCCTAAGATGGACCGTTTTTATAAGCTCATTGCACACTTGGCAAAAGTGCGTAAGCATTGCTGAGCATGTACATAATTATGTAAGGAGTTTAAACACCGTGTGTGAATGGTGGTGATGGTACGTACATATTATGGTGTTTGTGGTGTTCCCAGGTCCAGTGCAGTTGAGCTGTGTTCATCATTGGAGTCCAGAGAGTTGTGTGGTTGGGAGAGCTCTGCAGGAAGACTGGTTCGTAATGTGGCGTCCTTCTGTCTGTGTGCATGGTTGTTTAATATGAACGAATGCCAAATGACTTGATACAATCAGTATATTACAAAAAGCGGATGCAGCAGAAGAATGACACACTCATTCTCTCTCCCCTCTGTTACTGCAGGTGTACAGATGGTGGCCCTGGACTACGACTTCACTTCGAGAGCGCCGTTCACAGAGGACGATATTGCCAGCCTCTACCCCATTGTCAAACAGACCAACTTCAGAGTCAGTGGCAATTTTACCGATATTATACTTAGAGTTTGTTCGTCCACTGAGTGTGTCTGTTAGACAGGCAGAGAAATGGTACCATTGGTTCAGTTAACAGCAGCGCACAGTGTGTCTGTTAGATAGGCAGAGAAATGGTACCATTAGTTCAGTTAACAGCTAATCCTCCAAAGCGCACAGTGTGTCTGTTAGATAGACAGAGAATGGTACCATTAGTTCAGTTAACAGCTAATCCTCCAAAGCGCACAGTGTGTTTGTTAGATAGGCAGAGAAACGTTAGGATGTAGTACCATTGGTTCTGTTAGCAGCTGATCCTCCAAAGCGCACAGTGTGTTTGTTAGATATAGACAGAGAAATGTTAGATGTGGTACCACTAGTTGCTGTTTCTCTGCTCTTCCTCCAGTCAACCGAGTGCGCCATCATGTATGAACTGGCCCAGACTAAGTTCTCTGCAGGTATATATGTACACACAGAGGTCTATATACCAACTTGTTAGTCTACTGTTGTAGTTGAAACTTTCTATCTCGCCCTATCTCATGTCCTGTTCTACTCTGTCCAGGGAGTTTCAGAACAGCTCACGATCTGTACATGGAGGCGCTGCAGATGTTTATTCAGATCTACGGACCTCTCCATATCACTGTTGCCAACTGCTACAGGTCTGCATGCTCACAATACTTAATCCTTTTCCATCTCTTCCCCTCCTTACTAGTACACTGTAGCCTGAGAAATTTTGCAGGGTATTTATTGAGATTCCTGAACATAGTTGTTTCATTCATCTCATGGCCATCAAATTTCTTTATGCTAGTTATGATCATCCAATTGCAACCACTCAAGTTTGGTGGATTTCACAACCTAACCACCTCATTTCCCCCCCATTGCACGTTCAATTTCCACTCACAGACAAGTGGCCAAGATCAACTACATGGTAGGTGAGGTGGGAGTTGCCCTGAGCTTCCAGCACAAGGCGGTTCTGGTGTACGAGAGGGTTCTGGGAGTGGATCACCCCGAGACCCTTACCTCCTACATCAACCTGGCCATCTACTGCCACAACACGGACCAGACCTCTGTGGCTCTCAGACTCATGTACAGGGCTCGCTACCTACTCATTGTGAGGAGGGAGGGAGGGAGGGAGGTGAAGGAGTGTGCCTAGCCACTGCCCTGAAAGAGTCTGGTTACTATTGAGTAACTGTTTTCGTTGTACAAGTCACCATTTATGTTGTGTGGTTAATCAGAGCACAAGAAGATTACAATTATGTAATGGAACTGATCTGTAAGTATTTCAATGACACAAGAAAGACTTTCTCCATTTACTCTCCCGGTGGCAGAGTGTGGATATAGACTAGATTTGAATGATTTGGACCACGTGTATGTAAATCTGCAGGTGATGTGTGGGGAGGACCACCCGGAGGTGGCTACGTGTGACTGCAACATTGCCCTCATGTTACACGTGTTCAAACAATACGAGAGCTCCCTAAAGTTCCTGGAGAACTCTCTCCGAGTCTTTGAGAAGTAAGCAATCTGCCACATAACTACGCTCTTTTGCAAGTGAAAACTGTTGTAGATCGCATAAAAGAAACTTTTAGCGGAAAGTTAGTAGTCTAGTATGCTAAACTACAATGTGTATTGATTGCAAAAGAGTTTTGATATGTATATACCTGTACTGGAAGAGGGGAAGGGGGGATGGAAGAGAGAAAGCAAAAGGAAGTGTCTACATTTTGTTGTTGTCTTGTGTCCAGGTATCATGGGAAGCAGTCTCTGCAGGCAGCCCTGACGTAAGTTCCACGTTCTTGGCCACCGCTATATATATATGTAGCATATTATGTGGCTACTTTACAACGTCATTCATTAGCTATGTAGGATGTTGACTGAAGTTCTGTGTGTGTGTGTGTGTGTTGCAGTCACCATCTTATGGCTCGGGTCCAGTCATTTCTGGGAGACTTCAGAGCTGCGTTGCAGAATGAGAAATCCACCTACAGCATCTACAACAGCAAGGTACAATACACACTAGGGGCCTATAGTGTGCTCTCTGTGTGCCATACATTATGATACGGGCATGCAACGTGTTCATCAGTTCGGCAGTGATAATGAGAGGACTAAAGAGAGCTCAGATTGTCTCAAAGAACTGACCCAGAAGGCTGTCACCATGCAGAAGACGGTACGCTATCTCTCTCTTGCTAGCTTTGCTAGCTGACATAGAAATACTCTACTGGCCTGTGTAATATAATGTTGACTCGGGTGTGTTTTTGGCCCTCTGCTCTACAGATCAATGAGATGACAGGGAAGTGTAAAGGGTCAGGTGGAGGGAAAGTACTGGTAAGACACCACACACACACAACTATCTAGAAATATGTGGGTCCCACTTAGTATCCAAAACGTCTTGGTCATTGCTTCGTATGAACATTCAGTTTTGCAATTGTTTTCTATTAGGACCTAGTGTTCTGTTACCAAAATATCCAGCGCAATCTGTTTGTGCACGTACAGAAGAGATTGCATTTTCAATGTGACTGTGCTAGGTGGAGTTGCCAGGGTCATGGGGAGACGTGGCCAGTATGATTAATGCTCCCGAACCCAGCGCCCGACATCCACCGCGACAGAAACCAACCATCACCAAAACTCAGTGAGCTCTCTCTCTCTCTCAAACAGAGTGGTATACGTACAGAGCAGGTTCAAGTCAAAGTTGGCCTAATATGCAAAGTTTCACTCAAATCCAACTGCTCGACAGTCTCGATTTTTTGTGTTTCAAAGTGTGAGTATATGATACGTACCTCTCTTATCACTAGTATATATAACAGAGCTTTAAGTAGATGATTATGTTAGCTAGGGGCATTATTTAAATCCCCTCTCCTCCATTTTGTTATTGTAGCTCATTCGAAGACGCAACAAATCATCCAAGCAGCAGCAGCAGCAGCAAGCATCACAGACCACCAAACCAACTGACAAGCAGCCAGTCACAACTTCCTCTCTGTCGTCCTCACAACAAGACTGAGAGAGATCACTGGTGTGACACAGTCAGGGAAACTGGAGGAGGGTGGGAGGGGGGAATTTTCAGTTCAGCACTCATAGAGACACAAACTTTATTTATTAGGGTCATTGCTGAGCGTTTCATCTAACATGCTATAATGAAAGTTTATTTGCAATAGAAAATAATCGTAATTATCTGGCAATAATGATGGAGACAGTTTTTGAAACGTGAATTATTACATTAGGAAGCTAATCTTTGTAGTATTCTGGTGATAATGATTGAAGTGATATGTTGTGTTTTAGCTGGTGGCCCACCCAGTAGGTATGAAGAGTGCTGGTCATTAGCCCGTCCTTTTCCTCCGCTTCTCCCCGCTGCCTGATGATGAGCGTAGCGAAGGTTGACGAAGGAGACGGTACGAACCGCGCCGCCAGCTCGCAGATGCACTGCTCGTGCAGACCCAGATAGTCGTTTCGTAGGCTGGCCGGTAGAAACGAGAAATCTAGCAGGTTCTTGGAGAAATCTTTGCCGCCGTGAAGATGCGGTACCCGCGCGCGAGAAACTGCGCGAACCACTTCGCGTCGAAGTGGTCGGTAGCAACGTAAAGAGGGAGGGAGGCGGAGAAGTTGAGCGCGGCCATTCTATCAAGCCAGTAGGTCGCGCCCAAGGACTTGTCGATGTGATGCTGTCGGCGGACGTGGATCGCGTTGAACTGCAGGCCCATAGCCGCAGCTACGGCGCGTGCTGTCCTTCGAACAAGCGGGTTGTACCGTACGCCGTTCACGACCCATCTCTGCGCCTCTATAGCCGCCGACCGGGTCCATAACCTGATACCCACGGCAAATAGTGTTCCTTGCTCAAAGTAAAGCATCTCCGAGCTATCCCGGGCTAGATCCGACACAAACCGGACGATCGGTGATTTGGGGACTCTCCTGAGCTCGCCTCTGCTCCTCCTGACATTTCTCCTTCCATACGGTGTTGGGAATAAACCTCTGCTTGGAGAGCATCGCTACCTCCGCAGATGTGGACGGAGGACGTTCCATCCAGTAGCCGAACCCCGCGCTGTGGCACACGTTTCTCCAAGTCAGGTGGCCGTAATCTCGGAGGAACTGCGGGTGCGAGGAGTTTATAGCGACGACGGGAACGATTCGTGACATGAGCTGAATGTCAAGAAAGGAGGCTGGAGGGAGGAGATCCGCCGACGAGAGCATGTTGTACGCGCGGTAACCCGGGACGCGGTGCTTCCCCTTCAACTGTTCGCCGAGAGAGTGCGGCGCGAGCGGGTGAACGAGGAGGGTCCGATTCAGCAGCTTAGCGAGAACCAGCGCGTTCTCGAGTGCGATCCTCTGGTTGTTCCAGCCGTTCCCCGGCGGCTGATAGGACAAGTAGGGCGGGCCTGGAGAGCGAGGTCCGCCCCGAAACTCTTCCGCAGTCGCCGCCCCCTGCGCTCCAGCGAGGACCGGTGAAGATGTAGTCGAACATTCGCATCGCCTGAAGGTGACTGTAGGGCAGAAGTGACTTAGAAAGGTCCCGATCCCAGCGAAGAGAAGGAGAGTACAGAGCAACACCCCACACTTGCTCCACTCCAGTAGTTTCATCTTACGCGCGTCGTCTTCGAACTGCGCATGCGTAATTAAAAGTCTGCGCGTATAATTATGTAAACATGATTTGTGTAGTACAGGCTAGTCTGTGGACATCGGAACATCAGCGGTTGCCCTCGGCCTTGACCGTTGAGGGAACAACCACGTCATACACTCCACAAGAACAGCACAAACACACACACAACCACGTGAAGGAAGAGACAGAGAGAGGGAGAGAGGGGTGAAGGGGCTGCTACAGCTCTTCTTTGGACTCGTCATCAGAGTCGGGAACTGGCTCAGGCTCTTCTTCCTTGAAGAACCCGTGATCGTTGAGCAGTTGATTGATCTCGTCTTCATTCATACTCACCACCGACGCCCTCTGCACAGAAATGCAAGGAACAAGACATAGCGAGTTGGGTATATAAAACCACAGCATTTCTATTGGCAGGTGGTTGTATGCTTGAAGAGACCGCTGGAGATTAAGGTTCTAAATCCTTTCAGCATTGCCCCCTACAACAGTGTGTACGACGGAGCCCCTCTAATCGGAACACCAATGAGATGGAAGAAAGTGTCCATATTAGTGAGGTGTACTTATTTTTCTCGTCGCATGGTATAAGCCCACCTTGACCACCTCTCCACTGTCATTCATGAAGAGCATCTCAGGATCCCTCCCTCCCACGTACTTGACATCCACATTAGGACTGGTAACAACCACTGGTCAAGGATCAACAACAGTACACACTGACTTGTCTTCAACAGATCAAACTCTAGGAATGCAAAATGTACACCGACAGACATATTTTGGCAGACTATGTGTATAATAGGCTAGAACAGTGGCACATTATCTCATCAATCATAACCACAGGCTTGTCAAAGCTTTTATATTGTGGCTTTGGTCGAAACGAGGCCAAATTCACCAATCATTGAAAGTAACCCTCACATCTTCTAGCAAAAAGGATACTACTTCGGAAGGTGATTGTTGATGAAATTCTTCACCTACAACGAAAGTGAAACGTCAAAACATGCCTTTAGACTCAAAATCACTGTCAAACCTTCGGAAGTTTGTTCAAACGTCATCCGCTGCAGGACTAAAGGGAACAAAGGTGAACTCAAAACTTTTACCCAGTAACGTTGCTAGCGTACCTCCAGCAGGGCCGAAGCGTAGGTCTCAGTGTTCTCTTCTTCTTCGTCCTGCCCCCTCGCCTGCCAGGCCAGGGCTCCCAGCAGCACCAGACACACCAATCCAACGACGCGCATCTTCACCGCTTTTGGGGATGGATGGAGTGACACGTGAGCGCAATGTGCACACCTTTCTAATTGTGCGAAAGAAAAATTCAAAACTTCACGCGGTTTCCGGGCGCGCGCGGGGAGTACTGCCAGGCCGTCTCTCCACCAGAGACGAAGTTGTCAAGCGTTTGTGTCACTTTCATCGGCTATCAGTGAAGATGGTAAGCCATAACTATATCTTGTAGAGCTATCGGTAACCTTCACACAACGCTGAAGTCAGTAAACAGTTCCGACGTTCTTTTTTTTCTATTTAACGCTCACCGTCTTCCCCAGAGCACGGCCACCGTGTCCGTGCTGCCGGTGGAGCGGCCGTCTGTCGGCAGCGAGAGCGACGGTAGCGGCTCCGATGACGACGCGGGACGTTACAAAGTGAAGAGCGCCGTTGTTCAGGTAAGTAATTGTGACGTCATAAAATTGTAGTATCATTCAGATTTTTACCTCGCAGGCTACCTCACAGGCTACTCGAAAAGAGGCAAAGTCTCCCTCCTCTTCCCTCTCTCGTACTCCGTCTCCCCTCCCCCACGACACACTCCCAATTCCAGCCCGCCGGAGCCCCGCCCATTTTCCCTCTTCCCGTCGCCGACCTCATTCCCGTTCTCCCATTCCACCTCCACACGGCTGGAGACGCCCCCGATCTCCTAGGTATAATAACACACAACTGACTTTTCTTTCGCCATGAGTATATAAGTTTCATTGTTACATACTGTGAGCTGTGGTCTGTATGCTGCAGATATCCAAGGGACGGTGGTGGTAGAGGAGACAGAGGTGGGAAGAGAGGTCGCTCCAGATCACCTCCCAGGTGTGTGTATGCTTCTCCCCTATGGCCTTAACATTCTCTTACTGCATTATAATGTTATGGGCGGGGGGCTATCCTTTCAGCAAGTGGTAATTGACACGTGTTTAGGGGTTGGGAGAGCCGAAACCATTTTCAGTATATAGGAGGTGATGTAGGTTTCCCTAGAGAAACCTTCCAGCGGTGTCTTTCCCTCCTCTCCTGCAGGGCTAGGGAGGCAGCAGGAGAACTGGAGGAAGGCGAACTAAGAGAGCAAGCGGAACCACAGCCAAAGAAGAAGAAAGAGGATCTGGACCCTCTACTCACCAGGACAGGTCACTCCCTCACCTTGTCCTGCTGATTCTGTGTCCTGAATTATTATCAGGACAACTTTACTCTCCCACAGGAGGGGCGTATATACCTCCGGCCAAGCTGCGAATGATGCAGGCTCAGATCCAGGACAAGAGCAGTGTGGCCTACCAGAAACTGGCCTGGGAGGCCCTCAAGAAATCCATCAACGGTCTCATCAACAAGGTATGTATGTATATGCATGCTCCATCTCTGAGGGCTGTAAAAGCTACTGGAAAACCTTGTCTTGGGTGATTTTGTGAAACAGTGGGAATACCTTTAGCAGATGCTTGTCTTACAGAATTTGTGATGCCTGCCCCAACATTAATGTTAAAGAGCTTTCACTGATGGTGGGTTTCATTCGCAAACTGTACGTCTGCATGATATTATTACCGTAACTCCAAATTTACAGGTGAACGTGTCAAATATAGGGAACATTGTCCAGGAGCTCTTCCAAGAGAACATAGTTCGTGGACGGTAAGCCTAAAGCACCTCTCTCCATGTGTCTCTACCCACTAACTCTTGCTCTGTGTATTATATGTCTGTGGATGGTACACAAGTCTGAACTGAAGCTTCTTTCTTGTGCATTTAGGTCTCCCTATCATATTCTACTGTCGTGTTGACTCAGTAGTTGTGTGACAGATTTTTTCTCTGTCTCCCAGAGGACTTCTGGTTCGGTCGGTGATCCAGGCCCAGGCGGCCTCCCCCACCTTCACCCAAGTCTACGCTGCACTGGTGGCCGTCATCAACACCAAGTTTCCTCAGACTGGAGAGCTCCTCGCCAAGAGACTCGTCATCCAGTTCAAGAAGGGCTTTCGCAGGAATGACAAAGTATGTATCCGTCCACTACTTTCCACCCCTTTTCCATCTTCTATACATTTTCTCACTTTGTTTCATGCTCTTTTTTCTTACTTGGTTGTCTGTATGACTACCTCTTATTCTTTTCACTCTCTATTTTTTAAATTATTTTCCTTTCTCACTTCTTCTTTTCTCCTTCGTTCTCTCTCTCTTCTCTCTTCTCCGTCTCTCTTACTCCGTTCCCTCCTCCTCCTCTCCCTCAGGCTGTGTGTGTGACGGCCTCAAAGTTCCTGGCTCACCTGGTCAACCAGATGGTGCTCCACGAGATAGTGGCTCTGGAGCTACTCACACTGCTACTGGAGGAACCAACTGACGATAGTGTTGAGGTTGCCGTCGGCTTTATCAAGGTATTGTCAGCTGTACCGACACCTGGAGTAGGGGTCAGATCCCTCTAGAGTAAGGGTCATATTACTCTACTCTAGAGTAGGTCAAATTCCTCTAGAGTAAGGGTCATATTACTCTAGAGTAGGTCAAATCCATCTAGAGTAAGGGTCATATTACTCTAGAATAGGTTAGTTCCTCTAGAGTAAGGCTCAAACCACTCTCTGGGTAGATCGAATGGGATTGAATTAGTGAATTATTCATGTTGCTTTGTGTCTTCCGTCCACAGGACATTGGAGAGAAGTTGACCAAAATAACGCCGCGAGGAATGGTGGCAGTATTCGAGACCCTCCGTTCTGTCCTGCACAGCAAACAAGTCAACTCCCGCGTCCAATACATGATCGAAGTCATGTTTGCCGTCCGCAAGGACAAGTTCCAGGTACACACTTACACTATAGAGGGCTGTATCAGTTTATCTTCTTTCAAACTACTAATGCTATTTAGTCAATCACATACACTTGTCATTACAGCACTGTTGAAAAGAAATCTTGTTCCTACATACAATACCTCTCCCTCTCCTCCCTCACTCTCTGATCAGGACTACCCGGCCATCCCGGAGGGGCTGGACCTGGTCCAGGAAGATGACCAGATCACTCACCTCCTCTCCCTCAGTGACGCTCACGACGGAGAAGACCTCCTCAATGTCTTCCAGGAGGACTCTGACTACCTCGCCAATGAGGACAAGTACAAGGAGATCAAGGCCGGTATGTAGGTTCCACCAGATAACACTCAATGTGGTCTGTGCCATTGTATAGAGCCACAGTGGCACAGTAATGGGACATGCTGTCGAATTAAGCGACAGAAACGTTTGTGAGTTTTGCAAGTTTCAGGAAATTATGAAACTACGTAATTTTTAGCACACAATGCACACTCCAACTAAATGCATATGTGTGAAACTTTTTCGCAGTTAGTTTTTCGTGAGTCTTTGCATCTTAGCTGTTCTGCCACTCCACACACTATATATACGTTGTTGTCTCCTAATGTGTACATATGTGATATATATACAACTCCTTTTAAGTTGTTGTTGTTGTTGTTGTTGTTGTTTCTGTGCAGAGATTTTAGGAGAGGGGTCGTCAGGTGAAGAAGAAAGCTCTGGTGACGAGTCTGACGACGAGGAGAGTGAAGGTGATTACATCACTCTCTTCCATTGTACTGTATGGAGGATATTGTGGATGATGTCATCGTACAGAGGACGAGGAGGGGGAAGGAGCGGGAGCGGAAGGGAAGATTGATATCATGGACAAGACTGACTCGAAGGCTCTGATTTTGAGGAGAACCATCTACCTCACAATCATGTCCAGGTCTCTCGCTCCCTCTCTCTCTCTCCCTCTCTCTTTGTTTCTCATTCTGCCTCTACATACACACTATCTCTCTCTCTCTCTCTCCATCTCTCTTTTTCTCACTCTGCCTCTACATACACACTATCTCTCTCTCTCCTCTTTCTCTCTCCATTCAACTTTGATTCTCTTTTCTGCAGTCTGGATTATGAGGAGTGTGCCCACAAACTGCTGAAGACCAAAGAAGATGGCCAAGAGGTAATGATACCGCACACCTCACCAATTCTTCATGTGTAGTTCCAGAACACTGCCATCTGAGCAGCAGAGTTTTGTGGATAGTAAATGGGGTTTAAGTTTCAAAGTTGATGTGTGTCTCTTCTCTCTCTCTCTGTGTGTGTAGCCAGAGATAGCCATGATGTTGGTGGAATGCTGCAGTCAGGAGAGGTCCTACCTCAGATTCTATGGCCTCCTTGGTCAGGTAGGACCCCCAGTTACACCATCCAGATCTGTGGTAATCCTCTCTCCCTCTCTCCCTCTCTCTCCCTCCTTCTTTACTCAGAGGTTCTGTCTGCTCAGCCAAGGTTGGGTGGAGGCCTTTGACGGTCTCTTCCAGGAGCAGGTGTGTACATACATACATGTATCTATGCATTGCTTTTATAATACACTATTTCATGCCTTCTGTGCATGTATTCTGTGTATATACAATAGTACAAAAGAACCCACTTTGGCAGCTAAGCATTATGTACAGTGAGTCTTTTCTAGTAGAATACAACCTGTGCTTGTAAAATGATGCGGTTATACAGTAAAATAGTAGAAGAACCTACTGTGATCTCTGCAGTCTACATATTTCCTTTGTTTATCTGATGTGTGTTGTTGTTTTCATTTTCAGTATGCCACGGTGCACAGACTGGAGACCAACAAGCTGAGGAACGTGGCAAAGTTCTTTGCTCAGTTGTTCTACTGCGATGCCCTCCCCTGGACCGGGATGTCCTGTATTCACCTCAACGAAGAGGAGACCAACTCCTCCAGGTCTCATTAGATAGACTCAGTTTATGAGACTTATACCACCCTCCTCTCACCCTGTGATTCATGTATGCACCTCAATGAGGAAGAAACTAACTCTTTGTTGCTCTGATAAGATTCAATACTCAGCAGTAAAACCTTCTTTACCGTCTCTCCTCTCTCTCCCCCACAGTCGTATCTTTGTGAAGATTCTGTTCCAAGAGCTGTCAGAGTTCATGGGTCTACTCAAACTGAACGAGAGGCTTAGAGATCCGTAAGCCACCACTCCAATGCTATAGAGTCACATGACGGTGTTAGGCCAACATACTATATGTTCAATGTATGGAGCTTCTATGCATAGACCTGCAATGTGTAGCACAGAAACTCTGCGACTTATGCACTATTGTTCCACTGCCATATTATTTCTCACACCTTTAACTTTAATGCATACAACTTCAATGGATAGAAGTGCTGTCTATTTTTTCAGCATTCACAGTCCAAGCTGTGCTATGTACATCTCTATCATGACTATATAACTGACTGTGTGTCTCCGTTACCCAGTATTCTGAGTGAGGCATTTGAAGGTCTTCTTCCTCGAGACAATCCAAAGAACACTCGTTTCGCCATCAACTTCTTCACCTCCATCGGTCTCGGTGGACTCACGTAAGCCCCCCATAATTCATGGGTTTTCTGGTTAGGGGGTCCATTTGGCCCCCATGGAAAAACCTAAGGTGCCCTCACAGAATTATGTATTGTCAAACCCCAAGTAGTGTTCTTTCTGAAATGAGCACAGTGTGTGGCTGTGTGGCTCTAGTGGTAGCTATAATACATTATGTATCTCTACAGAGATGATCTAAGGGAACATCTGAAGGATGTGCAGAAACAAATCATGGCCCAGAAACAGGAGGTCAGCTCCTCAGACACTGACTCCAGTGAAGACTCTGATGACGACTCGGAAAGTAAGTCTCACATTTCGAGCTTGCAATATCCCTTTTAATAGGTGCCCATAACTCATAACTATTGACTGTTGGAAAAATTTGCTGTTTGCTTTTTCTCAGCAAGTTTTCTTTCGGTGTTGTGCTTAGTGGCTGCAGGCTTTTCTAAAACAAGTTTCTATATAATATGCTGGCCAGTGGGAAAAACTAGCTGGGAGAATACTTATTTTATATCCTTTGACCGATTGGTTGATTCTGAAAATGAAAATGGGCCCAGACACCTAAAATTGATGTGTCAGCGCTGTGAAAGGTTTCTCCCTCTAATGTTTCCCACTCACACTATATACAGGAGCTATGGGATTATAGTTGATACTGTATGGTACACAGGTGATTCCTCAGAAGAAGATAGTGAGAGTGAAGAAGATGATGAGTCGAGTGAGAGTAGCAGCAGTGGAGATTCTGAGGAAGAGAGGAAGAGAAGGAGGAAGAGGAGGGAGAAGGAGAAAGAGGAGGAGAGAGGGAGAGGAAGGGAAAGGGAGAAGAGGGATAGGGGTGAGGAGAGGAAGGAGAGAGGGAAGGAACGGGAGAGAGGTGGGGAGGACAAGAGAGACAAGAGAGACAAAGGGAGAAGGGAAGGTGGAGAGGAGGATGGAAGGAGGCAGAAGAGAGGGGAGGAAGAAAAAGAAAAGGACAGACGAAAAGAACACAAAGAAAGAGACCGAGACAAAGATGAAAGAAGAGAGAAAAAGCGACACGAAAAAGAAAGTGGCGATGAAGATGGTGGAAGAAGCAGAAGGAAGAAGAAAGATCAATCTCATGATGGAGACAGAGATCAGGAAGACGGGGAGAAAGACGGGGTGTCGCAGAAGAGAAAGAAAAGGGATCACCGTGATCGCGAGAAAGGAGAGGAGGGGAGGAAGAGAAAAAGGGAGGGGAGATGCAGAAGAGGAAGATGTAAGAGATGAGCGTAAACAGAGGGAGAGGAGGAGGGGAGAGGGGGAAGGGAGGGAGGAGGAGAAGAGGGAGAGAGATCGAGATGAAAGGAGGGAAAGAGGACGAAGAGATCATGATGAAAGGAAGGAGAAGAAGAGAAGGAGGGACAGTCACAGCCCAAGAAGAAGTTAATAAAAAAATTTTGAGACAATAATCCTTATCTGTTCTTCCTTTGTTGTGCACTTGTGGTGTAAAAAATTTTCAAACCATAAGATGGACAACGACAACCTGCCACTCAGTATATAGGGTCAGACTGATGTGTGTGTGTGTGTGTGTGTGTGCTTTGAGCCTTCATTGTTTGCATGCAGAATAGCTTAACCCCAGGTGTGTTACTTGGTGTCTAAAGATCTCTGTTTTCCTTTCTTTTTCACTCCCATGGTGAAACATGTTTTTTGTGGGACATTCATTGTCTGAGTTTTGCCGATACCTCTTAGATAGAGATCATGCACAAAGAGCATAACATAATCAAAGGTATAATTATATAGGAGACAAACTTAAAGTAGGAAAACTTTACATAATGCACACATCGTACACCAATTCTAAGGTAAGAGCATTTTCTGATCATCAGTAACCTCTTTTCCTCTGTCATTAATGCACTTGTCATGTGCACCAGGGCTTGCATGGTCTTGACGTGTTTGGACCGAGTGCTCTCTTTAGTAGCTTAGTCTTGATGTAAAAGGTGCCAGCTGACAGAGCAATGGATGGTATCAGTCCAACAAGTATCCCTGTCACTCCTTTCAGGTCCAAGGAAAACACAATGATCATGTACATAAAAGTCATCAACAATGCTGCAGGAAATACGGTGAAGAGCACACAAGCACAGCTGATAAGTTGTTGACAGTATGGCACTTCCTTTTTTGTACCATAAAATAGGCTGAAAGAAATAAAAAATACGAGAAAAACCCAAAGAGAAGTATATAATAGAGTAGATATCAACACCATAGCTCTATCCTCAATAAACAATAAAAATATAATGGAAATGAAATCCATAATGCTGTAATAAACAAAATTCATAAAACTGAAGAGAACCAAAACTCTCATTGTCTTAGTTCTACATCTTGGTGAGCAGCAAAAACAGCAACAGAAAAATGACCAACAAAATGAGATATATATAACACCTTTTATTGCTCCACTTGGAATTGGGACATTGTTCCTGGAATGATTTCTTAATGTGGCAAACAGAGAACCAAGAAAGAGTATCACTGTAATAATAATTACAGTGGTAATGGGTACATAAATGGGTACGTAAAAGGGTAAATAATACTCATTCATAAATGTAGTGGTTACGCATCGTTCTACCAAAAACAACAGACCATAAACAAAGATATTAGAGACCACAGCAGTTCCCCAGTAGAGGCTCTGATGTTCCAGTCTGGTTGCTCTGAAGACTATCTGGTTGTGGACTGCTGGGAAGAACTTCACTATCACCAGTGCCAGAGACAGAGATACAAACACATACTCTGTTAAGCTGAATATGATAAATGTATGGTAATATATTGGCTGTGATTTAAACGTTAATACCACATAATTATCATGGCCAAAGTAATCATCATCAAATGTAGCTATTCCTTTCTGACTTTCATCCCAAACGTGTGGATAAGTTTCACATGAGTATACTTTGACCTGTTGGAGAAAGCCTATTATAGTAAAGAAAGAGTGCTTACAGCTAGAACTCACCCAACTAAGCAATTCTGAAAGAATACACTTCACAAAAGTCAGCGATGGATTGCAGCGTAATTTATCTATTTTTAATGTCAACGATATTGGGCCATTGTCATAAATATAGTTACCAACAAAAGAGTCACTAATGAAAAAAAAAGGCATTATCCATAAAAGAGCACTTCCATGTAAACCGGAGAGCAACAATAAAAAGGAAGGATCCTGGTGTTTTTGTGCCTCAAAACTCATAGAAAGAGTGCCGCCATCATTGTCAGAGAAAGGACAGAGCTTCCATGTTGTGTAGTCTGGGGAACTTGAATTAGAGCAAAACGCTTCGTTGAGTTTAGAGTCATGTTCCCCACAGGAGACATTATTTCCATCCACTACTTCCAGCTGAACCTCAAATTCAATGAAAGAAAAATCTGTACTTATTAAAGCAGTCCTCGCCTCATTCAGGACTGTGTGATTTTGAATGAGCGCCTCTTCAAACTTCCTATAAAGGTATAAGTATGGTAAACGTACAAAGTCGTTTGATTTGGATGCGACACAGTCTTTATTGGGCTGCAAAATCACTGGGTATGCCAACAACAAAAGAACCCAGACACGAACGTAGATACCGGACTCCATAATTGGCGAGCGGGAGAGCTAACCTAGTAGTCCAATCGGCGCGATTTTTATACAGTCGTCCAACTGCGCATGCGTTTGGATTACGCGCTTCTTTTACACGCTGCACTCAGCTGCCTGTGTGCTCGCTAGCTCCCGCTCGCGCCTGCTAGTTATCGTAGTCCAAGTCCAGATAATAATTTATACACACGTATGTGTACGTGAGCGCGCGAGCGCGGCGCTGAAAGTCACGCATGCGCAGTAGGCTTGACTGTACGTACTAGTCTGAACTCTGCAGCGTTTAGCCTTAGGGTATCCTTTCCAAATACAGCTCGTGTTGTGCGTACTGTAATAATATATAGACACAAAGGATCTCCTCATTGTCTTACTACAACAGTCCCCCCCCGCCAGCCATCGCGTGCACATCAACATGCAAGCACACTCTTAACAAATGGAAACAAAACAGGACAGAGATCACATGAGTAACAAAATCTCAGTTGTATAAGACAACTTGCATAATGTGTAATTATAATATTTTGTATAGTGAAAGTAAAAACACATACATGAATGTATTTTGTTTTTAAGTCTCCAAGGGATGGTCAGTATTATCCTCATGGCAATAGCATCTGCCGATCATCAGTGTTGTCCTCAGTCTCCTCTCTCTCTCCATCATTCATAGCTCCACCAGTTGTCCCAGACTGTGGCAACTGACTTGTGGCTGTGTTGGACTGACTCACTTTCTTGTCCAGTCTCTTCTTGATGTACCAGGAGGCAGCTGACAGAGCAATGGATGGTATCAGTCCAGTCACTATCCCTGCCACTCCTTTCAGGTCCAAGGAAAAAACAATGACCATGTACATTATAACCATCAGCATCACTGCTGGAAACACAGTTATCAGCATAAAGGTGCTTCCACAACGTGTGAAAATCTGTTCACATGCTGTATCATTTGAATTTATGCCACAAACTATGGTATAAAGTGAATAAGATATGACGAGCACAAGAAAAAGTACAAGAGACACATACAATGTAGTAAAGGTTATTACTGAAGCCCTGAATTCCTCAATAAAAAGTAGAAAAGTGATAGAAATTCCATCCATAATGTTATGATAAATGAAACTCATAAACCCTAGCATGACCAAAACCTTTCACTGTCTTCTCCCTTTTACCTGGACTGCAACAAACACAGCAACACACACAAGAGAAAAAGTATAGCACGTGCTTAACCATTCCTCGAGGGATGGGCACATTTTGCTGGTGACCTTTTAGTGAGGCAATGAGAGCACTGATAAAGAATATGAATGTAGTAATCCCTTCTTGGATGGGTGGGATGACTACTATATATGTAACAAACCATTCGAGATCAACAGCCATCAAATACGCAATTTGACGAGTAATAGACGATGCTCTCATGGTACCAAACAACAGACCATAGGTAAAGATATTGGAGACCACAGCAGTTCCCCAGTAGAGGCTCTGATGTTCCAGTCATGTTGCTCTGGAGACTATCTGGTTGTGGACTGCTGGGAAGAACTTTGCTATCACCAGTGCCAGAGACAGAGATACTATTGTGTATTCTGAAATACTTAGCAACAAAAATTGGGATGGACTCAATTTCCAGGTCATAAACTTCAAAGCCTTCTTTTCATTGCCACTATTGTCATCACCATCTTCATAGTCGTCATAGACCTGATTGATAACAACAGTTCCTTTCTGGCTCTGGTCGGATGTTTGTGGTCTTTTGCCAGATGAGTATACCTTAATCTGCCGGAGAAAAGTTTGTCAGTGGGTAAACTTAAAATATTCGGTTGTTGGTTACACATTGCATTTTCAACTTCTATATAAGCTACTGATAAACTGCCCATTGTTACCCTAAGTAGTTATAGGGTCTATATTCAGTGTGTTACCAACTAAAGTCTATGTATAGTGACTCACCCAACTAAGAAACTCTTTAACAACAGTCCTTGCCAGAGAACATGATGGATTTAAAGATAGATAATCCATTTTTAGTTTCAGCTTTACTTCCTTATTATCAGCATTCAATTCATTGCCATCATAGAATAATCACTGTCAAACTTGGGGTAATGAGGGATGTAAATTGATAGCAGATTCCCATGTATTAGAGAGAGAACTATTATCAATGGAGAAATTAGATCCATTTGTGTACTCCCTTTCACGTCTAAATCACTCACAGGCTGAGGTGAAAATGTCACTGAATCAAGACATTCTGGGCATAGATACCAGTAGAAAAAATACGTCGAATTTGGTCCAACTGGACAGAATGCAGCACCAGAGTAAGGGTTGTCAGTTATATTGTCCACTATAATTTTCAGCTTGAAAGTGACAGAGCTGGTATCGTTATCGCTTAGAAAACCAATCCTCAGTCCTTCAAGAGAGTCTTGCTCTTCTCATTAGAACTTCCTCAAACTTTAGGTAGAGGTGGTAATAATTGGCGTCGAATATGAACGGAGGGTTATCGCTCTCGTGGAGCTGCGCGGCGGTAACGCCGCCGACGAGCAGCATAAGCCAGCAAAAAGATGATTCCATGATCACAAATCTGCTCTTCGCTGCCGAAATAACCCCTCTACAGGTCTTTACAGCGTGAAGGGTGTAGCTTTCCGCCCACTTCCGTAGCATCGCTCGCGGCAGAGCATACGATGGGAACTATGTGAATGGCTGCACACAAACCCTGCAGTGAAGAATGCTATGTCCGCCCACAGTTTGCACAAGCTCATGCTTCTTGAAAATTAAGCCAGTTGTTGTTTTGAGGCCTTGAAGCACTGACCTCAGCTCGGCGCGTATACACACATTGCGCATGCGTAGTTCGTTGAAAGTAGGAATTCCATTCTGATATCACAAACACAAATAAAGCATATGTTGTAAGTCATCACAGCAAGACCTTCTAATGGTACAACGTAAAACAACTTCTATATTTGTAACATGAAAAAATAAAACACATATGCAATATAACATATAATAATTATAGCTACTTGTTTTAGCCTCTGATCATCCTCATGGCAATAGCATTTGCCGATCATCAGTGCTGTCCTCAGTCTCCTCTCTCTCTCCATCATTCATAGCCTCACCAGTTGCCCCATACTGTGGCAACTGACTTGTGGCTGTGTTGGACTGACTCACTTCCTTCTCCAGTCTCTTCTTGATGTACCAGGAGGCAGCTGACAGAGCAATGGATGGTATCAGTCCAGTCAGTATCCCTGCCACTCCTTTCAGGTTCAGAGAGAACACAATGATCATGTACATTACAACCATTAGTGCCACTGCTCCAAACACACTTATGAGCATACACACACCTCCAGTGAAATTAACCCATTTTTGAATTATAGACATGCCAGCATAACTGCCATGACGCAGTATAAAAAACAAAAATGAAACGAACACAATCAGAAACACTACTGATGATGTATAAAACAAAACAACTGTAACTACTTGAGCTCTTGATTGCTCAATAAACAATATGAAAACAAAACAAATTGCATCCATCACGTTGCGATGGATGAACATCATAAAGCTAAACATGATCAGAATTCTCAGCAATTTTACTTTACATCGTTGTGAGCAATTACAGCAACAGGCACAAGACCAAAAGAATGAGATATTCAACAAATTTTGCCCATTCCTCTTGGAAAAGGAATCTCAGTGCTACTTTTGGTTCTCAATGAGGCAATAAGAGCACCAACAAACAGTATGACATTTACAATCACTTCTACCACACTCGGAACTATAGAAAACTCATTCAGTTTCTTATTAGGATAATCTAATAGAAGGGGTATAGATCTTCTAAGTACATAGCTTGATAAAAGATAGACCATCCTCTTGCTCCAGCAAACAACAGACCATATATAAAGATATTGGAGACCACAGCAGTTCCCCAGTAGAGGCTCTGATGTTCCAGTCGTGTTGCTCTGGAGACTATCCGGTTGTGGACTGCTGGGAAGAACTTTGCTATCACCAGTGACAGAGACAGAGATACAAACACATACTCTGCCCAACTCAGCCTCATAAATTTAGGTAAATTCAATGAAAAACCCATGAATACAATTACCCCCTTCCAATTATCATCATCAACCTCAGAATTTAATTTCACAGATCCCTTCTGAAAGTGTGTGATTTTCCTCCAAACTCTGAATACACTTTGATCTGTGGGGAATAATGTTTGATAGCTCACAACAGGCAATATGCTATTTCAAACAAACATACCCAGCTGAGTAACTCAGATAAAGCACATTGTGTCATAGGAATTGGTGGATTGCAGTCCAGAGTGTCCATTACCAGTGTCATTGAAACATAAAGAGGGTAGTCATCATCATCATCATCATCATAATCATCATCATAGGGTTCAATATCTGGGTAGAATATGAGAGGAAATAGAGAACTAAGTGCGTTTCCATGAAGCAAGGACAGCCATGAGATTGCAGCATCAGTGTTGATTTTTTTTCTTTCTGCCTCTCTCTTACTGAAAGTCTGTGGACTGAATGTCAGTTGTAAAATATTGCTGTAACCATACTCATAAGGAAGGTAGCAGAGCTTCCAGTGGTAGTCTGAGGAGTTTGAGGGACAGAATGTGTCAAAACCGTAATCAAGATAGTAGTAATCAACACAAGTGTTAGAGAGGTTAGTTCCATTTACAATTTCAAGCTGAACATTAAAATAAATCTCAACCTTGTCTGCGACCATATAACTTTGTCTCAGTAGATCCAACCCTGTTTTGTTGCTAATAAGAGCTTCTTCCAGTTTTGAGAACAGGTAAGATACATCATAATCTTCATTACAAACGTCACTGGCCTGTAGATGGATATGAAGTAGCAAAATTGAACAAAAAAGCAGCAAGCCTTTCATTTCACTCAGACTAAGCAAGGCATACTCACCCCCCACTTTTAAAGGAGAAACTTGCCAAATTTTGGGAGTTTCCTTAATTTTTTAGGGTGTGTAGATCCGTTTGCAAATCCACTCTAGCTAGTGCTCTATTAAGTTTACGTTTACGCTAAGAAGTCCTGTCATGTGATTTGACTACGATTGCATCACTCATTGAACCGGAGTAGAGTCTGAAAGTCTTCAAACTTTTGATAGAGATATGTGTATCTAGAGTTGTAGTACGGGTATTCCTCGTAAAAATCGTCATAATATCCAAAATATCCAGGGCTGAAATCGTTGCAAACACCACTGGCCTGCATCGTCGCTGGACATAATAGCAGGAAAAACACTCCAAGACGGACGCATTTAGAGATCTCCTCCATCACAGACACAGGAAAAGACACTGGTCTCGTTCACAGCACCACTGTCTGTAGACTATATCTAGCTCGTCCCTTTCTGAAATTTTCAAGCTGCAACCTGCCTATTGACTGACGACGGGATCCGGGATGCGGCGGCACGGCGCGCGTTCGCAGTTGCGCATGCGCAGCTCGCTCAATACTAGCGCG